TTGTATGGGCGCGGCCATTGAAATCGAGTCCATTTCATTGGGGTATATAGGATAGGAATATCCTTCTTCATTTCATATCAGACGGAACAATGGCTGTAACTGGTGCTGTATGCAGTGGTCCTTTTCTGCGTGCAGGACTCATGCAGGCAGAATGCCACAGAACACTCGCGACGAGACTCAGGTGGGCATTCGATGTCGTTGGAAGTACACTTTTGGGATCTACTCGGGCAAGCGATGGATGCTTGCGGCACAATTCCTCGGTATGGGCGACATGAGGCCAAGGGAAGAAGACTGCGCGCAGAGGCAGCGCGTAAGCGGTATGGGCGACATGAGGCCAAGGGAAGAAGACTGCGCGCAGAGGCAGCGCGTAAGCAGGACTCGAAGGGGCTTGGACCTCGAAGTAGGTGCGCATACCGATGGCCACCGCAGCACGTATGCGCACGGGCAGACCGCTGTGGAGAGAGGGCGGAGTTGCTCGATGCCGTCGGTGTGGCGAACAAAGTGAACGCGCTGGAGAGCTTGGCTTAAGCGGAGGGTTCAGATGTGTCAACAGGAACTGGCCGCTCGACAGTACTAGGAACCTAGAAGACTCTGTGTGCAAGGCTGCTAAAGTCGATCTTCGTGCCTTGGATACTACCAAGTCGAGCACTTGTCACGGACCACCGACACCAGCAGAATCGAACGCATCCAAATGCGATAAGGAGCAAGATCACAGGGCTCTCGGACGACCAGACCGCAGTCCTCGAAAAGGCCGTACACATTCTCGCACGCGTCTCAAGGTTCTGTCAACGCGAAAGCCAAATCTTGAAATAAAGTGTGGACACAAGGTTCAGCCTCTGCCATCTAGACCATCGACGTCTCGTGTTTCCCGTATTTTCCGAGCGCAACTGGAAAGTATATTAGAACGCCATCTCAACCGAGCTAGCCATGCGAGCTGCATGAGTAGCGCGATTTCCCCACGCTCAGCTTAACGGCTCTGGCCCATCTCGCACGAACAGCAAACCGTTCGCGCTATTCAGTCGTCGTGCGTTCTCCTTCAGCCACAGCAATCACCTCGCTAAATAGACGCAGGGCAGCTAGCCACAAAAGCCTCCTGATATCGCGTCATACCACGTGGTTGACAAGGTTGTTCACATGCATGAAATCCTGAAGCGAGTCCAAACGGGGCTCGAGATATCCTTAGGCTCTGGACATCCCATCAAGTCATCAAGCACTGAATGAATGAGTACTGCAGCGCGTACTGCGAGAACAGGTAAGAATCTCGTCCAAGCAAGGACGCCAACAGATGGTGAACCCTGGGCGGCCAAGTGCTGGGTGCGATTTGTGTCGCAAGCGAAAGGTCAGAGTACGTAACATTCTCTATTATCACACGAGCTTACTCATATAGTCTACAGTGTGACGAAGGCAGACCTGGGTGTCGGAACTGTGCCAGGCTCAAGAAACAATGCCCAGGATACCGTAATCCGACGTTCCGTTGCGTACATCCTCGTGCTTTCAGATCCGCTCTACCGCATCACCAACACCGCCAGCCAACGGATACTGCCCATGATCCGCTCAAGCTCGAATACTCGGCACTACAAACAGCTGAGCAGCATGCTATTCTTGACTTACAACCTTCCACGGAGGGCCCTGCTATTCCTGTGTCGCTCGGGTGTTTTCCGGTAACTATTTCAGAGCAAGCTATATGGTGGTCGCTCTCGAAAATCCATCACCAATCACGCATCTATGGAGTCGACACGTACTCGTTCCTACCCGCCATGCTCGAAGCCACGCGCCCGGGTTCATGTCTCGACGCCGCCGGACAAGCGATCTCAGTCATCCACTTGGCCAATCGTTCACTATCCCTGGAGCTGCGCGACAAGTCGAACCTCGCGTACGCACAAGGGGTCTCTGCAGTCAATGTCGCCTTGACAGATCCTGATCTAAGGTACAAGGACGAGACCTTGGTTGCCATCTGGCTCCTCGGGCAAAGAGAGGTCTGTTTATCAAATCGCAACGGAGTAGGTCTGACTGTACCGTAGCGCTTCGCACAGATTGGTCACTTCGAGCCCCAAGACAATTCAGCTGTCGAAGCGCATATCAACGGTGTACTCTTGCTGCTTCATCTTCGTGGGGAAGAGCAGTTTACTACGTCGCAAGGCCGACACCTCTATAAGCTGTTTCTCTCCAACCTGGTAAGTACGGCGCATGCGCTGATAGGGTTCCGAGCTGACCAGAAACAAGCAATGGCACCCTTTACTCGCATGCGAAGAACCGTCTGAGCAGTATCGGCTACTTGAAGCGCAGATTGGGAAAGCTACACTCAATATTCCAGATGCTTCCGCGCGCGTAAGCAGTTTCTTCCGTGGTGTCACGAAGCTGCGAGCTAGAATTCGCAATTGGCTCGTTTCCACGTCTGGCCGACAATCCGATGACACACTTATCGTCTCCTACTTGAAAGCGGGCGAAAGACTGGAACGCAAGGTTGTTGATTGGTGCGACGAGCCTGGCTGGAGGCCTCTTCCCGTAGCTGAGAAGGAGACGCGAGACGACGATACATGGCTCAGTCGGCAGCCTTTCTGCTCGATCTACTTCGTCGACACAGAGGGCTTCTCGCAGTGGAATCGATACTATGCTGCAAAAATCTGCTTGTACGCCGCCATCATCGATGCTCTTGTACATCATGAGAAGCGGGATTCCTGCCAAAAGCGGTGCGACTTATACAACATCCAAGACATGATACACCAGCATACTCTTGCGCTGCATGGGATCATTTGGAACTACCTTGGGATGATGAGCTACGGCTTTGGTGATATAGACGAGTCCGGACGAAGTCGATGGCGGTCCTGCAACATCGCCGGAGGCAGGAATCATCCGGATGCTTCGATCATCAAGGAAGCTGCAATGATGGAGGCTCATCCTCTCCTATCGTACTTGAGTTCCCTCGGCCGTCTGGCTATCCGGCAAAAGGAAGCGATCGACATGGTTTTGAACCGCCTGCACCAGTCTATCCAGTACTAGACCGCCAGCGTACATCATGAGCTTCTACTGGTTGCTGAAGAGGTTTCCAGTACCAGCTTTTACCACGAGGCGCCCTTTGTGTCGCGCGCACGTCGGCTATCGTGAGTTAACCATGCTCTTCCGGTTTGACTCCGGCCCATCAGAACTGAAGCCGTGTCCAACATGGACAGCTCTATGGTTCAGAGCAAGACTGTTGTGCGTTTATGACAAGGTTGAAATTGTATGCTAGATCGCCGCTATTACACCAAAGCCCGTCGATCAGACAGCGTAGTCCGACTTCACCACGTTCCGTAGGATACTCCACGACAGGTAGCAATAGAATCCCAACTTGCTCCAGCGACGAATAGGCTGCGCGTGCGAGCGAGTCGTCTCTTTGTTCGCTTCTGGCTGTACCTGTTCTGCACTTGCGCCCTTACGTGTCACGAGAGCTCTCAAGGAGAGTCCTCGTACTCGAAAGAGGTAGTAGAGACTCACCGCAGCCAAGACGTTGAATGCAATGTATCCCCACAGGATGCCAAAGTTGCGATACTGGTCCGATGGATATATTGATGCACCAGCAAGGAATTGATTGGCGTTACGAATGGGACAGTATTGGCAAGCCTGTGTCGCTTGAGGGTTGTAGAGTGCGCCTGGTGCACCCGCCTGCATATACTTTTGCAAGTACACCCCACAAGTCTGGCCTTCAGGCGGATCGAAGACTGCAAGCTCGTTCTGTGCGCACTTGACAACTCTGTCAACAAGTCCCGTACCAGCCCATCCTCCAATCAACTGGATAACGATGATTAGGACACAAGCAAAGCCAAAGCAGACAGGAACGTACGTAGGTGAAAGGAGAGACTCTCCACATGAAGATCCAGAACCCGGGGAGAGCAGACGGCGGCTGTAGTACGCCATTGAACTGCAGAGTGATAGTGAAGAGAAGTGTTGAGATTGCACCGGCGGTCTCCAGACTAGGCATCGTAAAGACAATCATTTGCGCGTAAGTAGAGGCGAAGAGGAGGAACTGTAGAACAAAAGCGTACATCATTGCCTGTGAATGAGGCGAGGCATGATAACCGAATACTGGAAAGTAGTAGCAAGCCCAGACAACCACCGAGAGGGCGATCTGGTACGGGATTTCTACGATGATATTCGCCAGCAGGAAAACGGACCAGCTATACATCCGAGAAGGAGACTCCCGCACTTCGAAGAGTGAGCGCTGGGGCATGAATCGTGACATTATCTTGGATCGTCAGTAGCTTGCAGCGCACGTTCGTGTATGACTTACCTGGTTGGCAACGGTCGAGAATGTAGCGTTCAGCATGAAGATTGAAAAGACGGTATTCTGCAAGCCCGTCGCGGACGAGTCCTGCAAGAAGAACGTGAAGCCGATGAAGAGTGCTGCCAGCAAGTTTGCCTGGAATTTGGCGTAGATGTACTCCGGAGATCGCCAATAGCACTCGAATTGGCGCCTGAGAACAGTCGTAAGCTGAGTCAAGAAGGACGTTGCATATTCTCGCTCATCATCAACATTCGTAGAATGGATGCGCTGCTCGCTATCGTCGACAGCCACCTCTTTGTCAGAGAAAACGGTAGTTGGACTTGCCTTCCATAGAGCCGGCCAATCATGTTTGGTGTCGCTCATCACGTCCAAAATATACTCAGCAGGATTCTCGTCCTTGCCGCACGATCTTGCGCCCTGGGATTCGAAGTGACCAGTCAATGTTCGGCAGTCTGGTCCAAGTGGTCCGAAGTACGCGGTCCGTCCGCCCTTGGAAAGAAGCAAGACTGAGTCGAACTGCTCAAAGATTGTGGCAGAAGGCTGATGAATGGTAGCCAGAATCGCTTGTCCGTCGCTAGCTAACTTTTGCAGCAGTGTCACAATGTTCCACGCGCTCTGCGAATCAAGACCTGACGTCGGCTCGTCGAGGAAGAGGATCGGAGGTTTGGCAACAAGTTCAACTCCGATGGTAAGCAGTTTCCGTTGCTCTAGGTTTAAGCCTTCGCCTGGCAGGCCAATAACAGCATCACTGAAGGACTCCATGTGCAGTAATTCGAGAACGCTCTGGACAAACGCGTCTTTGTCCTGTAGTGGAGTGGACGATGGTAGCCGTAGCTTTGCTGAGAATTGTAAGGCTTCCCGTACCGTTGTCGTGGGGAGATGTAGATCCTGTTGCTGAACATATCCGGTTTTGTGTCGATACGACGGCTTCAAAGGAGAGTTGTCGACAAGGATGCTGCCAGTAAGCTTGCCCGTAGTGTTGCGACGTTGTGCAAGCACGTCGAGAAGTGTCGTCTTCCCCGCCCCAGACACGCCCATCAGGCAGGTCATAGTTCCTGGTGTGACCCATCCCGTAACGTTGTCTAGTAGACGGCGCGGGGTGCCTCTGATGTTGATATTCAGCGTCACGTCCCGCCAAACCAAAGTGCCCCTGTCTGATCGACCGTTAGGGTGGCAATGATCTGAGCTGACATCAGTTGTCATCGTGGCAATTGGGACCTTTTCTGGTGGCATCCCCGCTGTGTCCAAGTCCTCTGACGCTTCTCTTGCTGGGGCCGCTGACATCTGGACACTGTCTCTAGCTGCCTTCATTGTCCTGAAGATCAATCGCTGAGGCAACGTACCTGCCGTCGAGCGAGCTTCAGTCGCAGCTAAGTACAGTGCGAGGAATGCGACCAAATACGACACCGCAATGCCGAGATTGCGCCACATATGAGCATAATCGTAGCCGTATCCGGACGCCACCCATTCATCGCCGGAGACAGTACGAGAGTTTGCAGTCGCCCCAATGAAAGCGCATGCAAAGTTGGTGTTGCCTGCATATGGCGGCACTATTATGGCGGCCGCACAAGGATACTCCTGGCCATGAACTTCATTAACAAGTAATGATTCGAAGATGTAAGCGACTGGATTGATGTAAGCGATCCAACGGAACCAGGGATGCATGCAACTTGTCTGCAACGTAAAGCCTGCACAGTGTCAGTGATGGCAGTCGAATCGCGGCAGACCAATATGCATGCCAGACTGCTGAGTAAGACTTACCGGTGTACATGATCTGAGCAAGAATCCCGATCCCTGCGATGGCATACGCTGGAGCCATCGCTTTGCAAGCCGCCCCGATGGTACGGAACAGAGCCGACATGAGCAGCGTGCAGATAAAGTTGAAGAGCAGGAAGATAAAGAAGTTCGAGGCTTCGGTCCGTAGTCCAGTCATGAAGTAGAACACCAAGTTGAATAGTGCTGCAATAACCAGCTTCACGGGAATGTCCACAATGTACGTTGCAAGAGCATCGGCAAACGGATGATAGAAAGCATAGTTCTGTTGCTTCGCGATTATGCCACGGCGTGAAAAGAGCGAGGAGATCTCAGTAACAGCGAGAAGGGCGTTCATTAGAGTGGCCAAGAAGAGAACAGAGCCCCTGGACCCGAGGCTTGATGTAGTTCCATTAGGTCCATAGTAGATGCTTCCCACGACGAACGCGAGAATGACGCGGCCTGCGATAAGAGTGATAGTCGACGCCAGATCGTTCCAGAACAGTTGTGATGCTCGACGCATACAAAGCCCTACTTGCATGGGCACCGAAATGATGAAGGGCGATTTGTCTCGTGTGTGGTGGGCTTGCGTGGAATGGTGGTCCTTTCGAAGAGCTTCCTCTCGCTCTGCACCTTGGTTGCCGAGTCGATCCCGATTGATATCGGCCATGCACTTCTTGAACTCTGCTGACGCTAACCAGTACTTCTCGAAGTCAAGCGGTGTCTTTGGAATGGAGGTTGCGAATCCGTCACGCCATCTTCGTTCCGTGGGATTTGTGACAGCAGTCAAAAAGTCTGGAGTAGTCTGGCGTGGAGGACTCTGCCAGCCCATGCGCTCGAAGTACGATCGTGCCTCCTCAACAGGGCCGAAGTAAATCTGTCGGCCCGCATAAAGAACAGTCACCTTGTCGAATGTCTCGTAAAGGCTCTGGCTGCCTGGTAGATTGCTGCTGCCTGTGTCACTCCCGCTATCTCAGCCATAACGCGCAAAGAACGCGTGAAGTGTAGTGCTGTTGCGGAATCCAGACCTCTCGTTGGATTGTCCCATACTGCTATAGAAGCGCGAGTCATAGCCATCTCTGCGATGCTGACTCTTTTGCGTTCGCCGCCACTTACTCCACGAATGACATCATTTCCGACTTTTGTGTGCCGCGCATTGAGTAAGCCAAAGATCCTCAACATGACCTCCACCATATGGGTACCGTAGGACTTGCGGTCGACCCCCTTGATGCGTGTGTGCGGGGTCCGAGCTGCAACTGCGAACTGGAGCGTCTGCTTCACGGTAAGATGAGGGAAGTGCTCGTCGTCCTCAGCGGAGTAGACCGCACGGCCTTTGAAGTGCTTGGCAAATGTCGACTGGGCTATACCATCATAGAGTACGGAGGACTCTGGAGACAGTTCAAGGCCTTGTGATTGGCATGCCAAAGTCTTGAGAAGCGTTGTACAGCCACTGCCAGGCCTGCCGAGGATTAGCAGCATCTCTCCACGTTCTATGGAGCCGTTGAAACCATTCAGTATGACCTTGTGCTGGGGTTTGCGCTTCTGGAAGATCGTCATCGGCAGTCGCGCCAAAGCTATCAATGGAGATGTGACGGTCTTTTGAAGCTCGACGTCGGATCCGGTGCCAGATACTGTGAGCGAGCTGAACGTTACACCTTGAGTGGTTCTGCTGACCACATCCTCTCTGATCAATCGCAGGAACGTTGAAGCCCAGAAACTGAAATCAAAAGATTCGTTCTCCGGATCCAAACGAGGATCAATGTCGGAAAGACTTCGAGGGACGATGCCGACATCCTTCGATAGACCTGTGGCGATTCTGGTAAGGCCAGCATCTTTCGTTGTGTCAAAAAGACGATTGAAATGTCTTCCGCTGTTCTGTTCTCGCTGAGCGCGCGTTGCGATGCTTGTTCTCAAGTCATCGAGCAAGGAAAGTTGTGCAGAGTCTGCATTGCTGGTTGTTACCGACTCGTTCATTGTTGAGGCATTCAAGCATTCGCCAGAGACCACCAGTACCCAAGTCCTAGCTGTAGGTCAAAAAGATTCATGATGGTCTCGCAGGACGAGCTGGCGTTGCGTTCCAGCTCAGGATCCAGGACTGTCTGCAACTGTTCGGCTGGTCGAGACTGGACAGCTCGTGCAGAGCAGCCTCAGCCAGCCAGGTATCGTGCAAGCAAGGCATGATATGGTGGTCGTTAGTGCGGCCACTCCAAGGTTTCGCATCGCGTCAGACTACCAGTCTGGCAGGAGTGTTTGCGGAACACGAGGTCGGTGGAAGGTTCTGCATGGCGAAGTGGAACCCAAGCGAAGTATTCTCCAACCCCTTTTCTGCGACCTGATTGGCTTCGAGCATGCGGAGGGATCCAGGCACTCTCGGCAGTGAATCCTTACTCCCCAATCCTGGTCTGCTGTCAATCGGCAGTCTACAAAGAACAGAAGCTTAATGAGCACCGCCCTTTGGCCTCCGCTCGCACGGCACAATGCCTCGCGCAAGCACCAACCAGCAGCGATGCCTTGATCTCTGGAACATGTAAGGCGTCGGGATGTGATCCAGACCATTGCGGCAACATTGCCCACGAAGCTGTACGAGACCTGCTGAGCAAGACGCCCGCCTCTGCTGTTCCAGCCGCACTGCTGTGTCTGCTTCTCGCACAGCTAGCCCTTTCTGTATGAAATCGCATGCTCAGCAGATGGCGCACGAACCGCTGAACACTTCTTACCTCTCAGTACCTTCACGGAACATACCTCACGCTAGCGTGTTCAGTGTTCCGTAACAAGCTCGCAACCTGGACGAGACACAACCAACGACTCGGCTAGTTATCGGAGCGGTCGTCGAATTGGCATTCCGAGCTCACGGGCCTGGCATCGAGTATATCTGAGGCGGGCTCCATGCGAGTTGTCCTACAAGATCTACCTCAAAACCTCACGGCATCCAGCGCAGCATCATCTCTCAAGGTTCTTAGCAAGTACTTCGACGTCAATACCTCGCTATTATTCTGCCACCATGTCGCCAACATGCCCAGCTCTTCCTCCCAACGCCTACGCCGAAGGTATGCCAATTCATGGGTCTATGACTTTCCAGCGACTCGTGCAAATCATTGCATGGATCTGCTTCGCAGTAACAGCAGTTCTCTGCATTGGACTATCCAGCCTCCACTTCCGACGCTATCGAAGTCCCAACGAACAACGAAATGTGTTTCGCATTATCATCTTCCCAGTGGTGGCATGTTTAGTCTCCGTGGTCTGCATTCACACCTATCATGCCAGTAACTATATTGCACCCATCGCGTCACTGTACGAGGCTGTCGCTCTGGTCGCTCTGTACCTCCTCTACGTACACTACGTTGCCCCAGAGCCCAGGTCCAGGGCGGACGTCTTCCAGAGGCTTATCTATACAACAAAGAAGGGCGAATCTAAGCCCGGTCAGGGCTATAGCTTGCTACGAGTACGTTTTTGCATCAATCTCGAAACCTTCCAGACCAAGTGCTGACCGTGGTACGGTAGAGCTCGTGGAGAGTTCTCTTCACTTACTTGGTCGTCTACTTCATCCTCGTGATCGCAACGGAGATCACGCTTGCGATCGGCGTCTACTGTGAGACTTCGAATAAGCCACACTTCGCACACGTCTGGGTATGATGTTCGACTGTTCTTCCTCGGATGCGCAGCGTCGCTGACATTTTACAGATACAAGCCTTTGAGTTGATCGCCACTATCACTGCTCTCGTCACGATCTTCCGCTTCCAGCGTACATTGAAGCACCACATGAGCGGTCGCAAGGCTCTGCCGAAACTTGTGATTTTCAAGCTCTTTGTAATCATCGTCACGGTCCAGCGGGTAAGGCAATTCTCTATTCGACATTCAGGATGCCATCGCTTACCACTGACTGCAGTTCGTCTTCAGCATAATCGGTGGTCATGTCAAGGGCAGCGACAAGATCACGTACAGCGACGTCACGATTGGTTTGCAGTCGTTATTGGTATGTCTGGAGGCTTTAGTCACTCAGATCGCATTCTTCTTCTGCTTCAGTCCAAAAGAGTTCTCTGGGATAGGCCACCAGTCAGACAAGGAAGGCGTGGCACTTGGTCCATTGGCAGCCCTCTGCCACGCATTGAACCCGAAAGATCTGGTTGTTGGCCTTGGCCAAGCCTACGGACTCGTGGAGCTCTGAACACGCCTGTCATTGATATTCGATCACTGGAGTCATGAATCAAGGCGGGCTTTGGACGCGATCCTACCTATGAAGCATAGCTTCATTGTATGTGCGGTCATACACAGGTTGACCGACATTGAATTATTTTGCGAGTTTCCAGAGCACGGCACCAGCATAGACATAGTTGCTAGTTCAATATATGATAAGACAAACACCCACACGACTCCGGGGTTTCGCCGCAGCATCAGATGTCATCCGCGGCGTTGAAAAGACTTGCAAGGCTGCCACTGCGGCTTCCCAAGTCCTGAACGGCTCGTAATTCCTTCTTTCCGACCGTCGCCTGAAGCGAGGCCCACCTACGAGATAGCGTTTGGCAGTAGTCAGCCTGTCGAGCCTTGAGCAGCCTTGTCGAGCTGCGCCGTGGAAAGATTGGAGCTCATTTCGAGTCTAATTTACCGACCTTTGAGTCACGACAAAGGGTCGTACACCATATGCGCGCAAGCCGCGGGCACCGAGGGCATTCTGGTCGACTCATTCTAAGCCATGTCCTTTGCCGAGAAAGCTGTGCGGAGGGCTGTGCCGCGAACTTTAGCACAAGAAACATGTTATGAGTTCTTCAGGGTCAAGCTCGCCTCGCGCCCTCACCGCTGGTGCTCGCCCACACGAGTTCCGCCTTGAAGGCTGACGAGCTCGCATTCTGGGTGGTGCTCTCGTACTCGCTTAGACTCCTGCATGCGCAAAGCCATGAGCTCGCATCGGAAAGTATGTTCTTCTCGGATCCGGAAGGTGGAACCTTAAGATCACGGCAAGTCCCTAGGTACCAGGATTGATGGTTGTTCAGCTTTGTTTGAATTCTCATGCCCGCCACTGTACAGCGTTGCAGAGCTTGGCCATGGCGCTCGAGGCATGTGACCACCTTAAGAGCAATATCTCGAAGAGGCCAACACTGCGAACCACATCAACGAGACCACTCAGCCACGGATGACATGCCCCTCCATGGCGCCGTGTGCGTAATGCAAACTCGACATCTTGGAGGCCATCCTTGCGGAGGGCTTCGCGGAAGGTTCAACTTGCTACTGAATGAGCTCTACATAGCAATTCACGCGAAGTCCCTTCCAGTTCGGACTCGGCCGTACAAATAGCTCATAAGTCCGCGATGCCTTCGAAGGCTTTGGCAGCCACTCGTCGCTCGATAACTGCAACATGGCGGAAGACATCCCTGGGCCACGAAAGCTACCGCTTCTGGGAAATCTCTTGGAACTGAACGACGGAACCGGCAGCATCATCGGATCATTCGAGCGATTATGCGACGCATATGGACCAATCTACCAAGTCAGCATAGCAGGCAGTCGTCGCGTCATAATTGGATCCGCCGACCTATTGGAGGAGATGACTGACGAGAAGCGCTTCGTGAAGGTGCCTCCAGAAGTGCGCAGAGGTTCCGACAGGCCGAAGGGATTGTTTACCGCAACAAATGAGGACCCGGACTGGGCACAAGGGCATCGAATTCTCATGCCAGCATTCGCACCACTGTCCGTCCACGATATGTTCGCCGATATGAAAGACATCGCGAACCAACTCATCCTCTCCTGGGCTAGGAAGGGCCCAGAGAACCGCATTCTGGTCACCGATGATCTCACGAAACTCACACTCGACACAATCGCATTATGTACCATGAGCTACAGATTCAACTCTTTCTACACCGAAAGTCTGAACCCATTCGTCGAGGCGATGATGGCTACGTTCAAGATCAACAACGATCTTGCAACAAAGCCTGCATTTGTCAAGAAACTGATGGTAAAGAAGATGGCAGAGAACGAGAAGCATTTCGCGTTCATGAACAAGGTCGGGCTGGATATAGTTGAGAATCGCCGTGCAAATCCAACCGAGAAGAAAGACGTCCTCAACACAATGATCTATGGCAAAGATCCGAAGACAGGGCACGTGATGCGTGACGATCTTATCGTGGCCCAGATGACCACGTTCCTCATTGCAGGTGAGTCCAGACCAGGGGGATTCTGGCAGTGCTGACTGCTGCAGGACACGAAACTACCTCTGGCTTACTTTCATTCGCAATGGCAAACTTGCTCAAGAATCCTCACACCTATCTTAAGGCACAGCAGGAAGTTGATGCAGTTCTCGGGTCCCGAACTATCGAGGTGACTGACATCAAGAACCTCAAGTATCTGAACGCAGTGCTCCGAGAGACCGCACGACTTACACCGACGGTGCCATTCCTCCAGAAGCATGTCAATCCTCAAGATACGACTGGGTTTGTGACGGTGGAAAGAGGACGATACAGGATCAAGCACGATGACCAGATCATTATCCTGGTCGGGAAATGCCAGCGAGACCCGAAAGTCTGGGGAGAAACCGCGTGCGAGTTCATTCCAGAGCGAATGTATGACGAGAACTTCGACAAAGTGATGGCCGCATATCCCGGTGCATGGAAGGTAAGCAGACTTGGGATCTATGTGAAAAGTATGCTGACTCGTCAAGCCTTTTGGGAATGGAAAAAGGGCCTGCATTGGCCGTCCGTTCGCTTGGCAGGAATCAATGCTGGTGATGGCCATGATTCTTCAGAGCTTCGACGTCAAACTCGATGATCCGAACTACGAGCTAAAGATCAAACAATCACTGACCATCAAACCCGACGATTTCTACATCCGAGTCACGCCTCGGAAGCGGTTGGATGCAACAGACGTGGACAAGCTGATTCATACCGGAGCGAATGGCAGTGGGACAGCTGAGCTCTCCGACCGGACTCGAGCCCACACGAATGGATTCGCAAGCCCAACTCCCTCAGCACCCAAGCCGATGACGATACTCTACGGCTCAAACACTGGTACATGTCAAGCGTTTGCACAGCAGGTTTCATGCCAGGCAGCCGCGCGTGGCTTCAATCCCAGGGTTGTAGACATGGACAGTGCAACCGACGCAATTCCAAGATCACACCCAACAGTCTTCATTACGTCTTCCTATGAAGGTCTTCCGCCGGAGAACGCAGCCAGATTCGTCGAGTGGCTTCAGAGCTTGGAAGGTGAAACATTGACAGACGTTCAGTACACGGTCTTTGGCTGTGGTCATAGTGAGTGCCGTCCAGCATGAAGTTCGCGGGCAACTAACATAGAGACAGAGGATTGGTCCCGCACTTTTCATCGCATTCCCAAGCTCGTGGATGAGCTTCTTTCTCGACATGGTGCCAAACGTTACGCACCTGTTGGATTTGCCGACGCTGCAAAGGGCAACTTGCAGGGCGAGTTCGAGGACTGGCTTGACGCATCCCTTTGGCCGAATCTCGTATCCGCCGCAGATGACTTGAGCGCGGTGGAGGACTCTGGGATAGTCGTGGAGTTGTCCGCAAATGCACGAGCCTCGACTCTTCGTCATGACGTTGGTGTCGCGCGAGTCCTGGACAACCGTCTTCTCACCCAGCCTGGTGAGCCTGCGAAATGGCACATGGACATCGAGCTTCCGTCAACTGCGACATACGAGTGCGGAGACTACCTCGCCGTCCTTCCGCTAAACTCGGAGAAAATCATTAGGCGTATCATGGCTCACTTTGTTTTGCCTTGGGATGCGATTGTCACCATCAGGCCAACATCGGGTACCATCCTTCCAACCGATACCCCTTTGAGCGTCTTCGACGTTCTCAGGAGCTATTTGGAGCTCAGTCAGCCAGCCACAAAGAAGGTTCGTCGTGTTCTCCTCTCTCAAAAATAGCACATGCTTGGCCTCGGATTCAATAACTAACGATGTCGTGCCGCAGAATCTACGCACACTAGCTTCGCACTGCGAGTCGACCGCCGACAAAGCACTTCTCGAAAGCGTTGCGGGCAGCGACACTCGATATAAGAACGAATTCCTCGCCAAACGTACGAGCATCTTCGACGTGCTTTCGCATTACACGAGCATCAAAATGTCTTTTGGCGAGTTCTTGGTCCTGCTGCCACCTTTACGTGTTCGACAATACTCTATCTCATCCTCACCTCTTGCAAACGATGGACGTTGTAGCATCACGTATGGTGTCATTAATGCAGCCCTCCTTTCGGATCCCGAGCATCGCTTCGAGGGTGTCACAGGAAACTATCTGTCGAGTCTGGCTGCGGGTGACAGCATTCAGGCCTCCGTCAGGGCTGGTGCTAAGAAGGAATTCCGTTTGCCACTAGATCCTGAAACTCCGATTATCATGTTCGCCGCAGGCACAGGCATCGCACCATTCAGAGGCTTCATTCAACAGCGCCAGATCATGCAAGAATCAAACCCAGGACGGAAACTTGGGAAGGCTCTGTTCTATCTCGGTTGCCGGAGCGAGGCGGATAGATTGTATGCCAAAGAGATGGATGCATGGATTGATTCCGGTGTTGTCGATGTGAGGTATGCATACAGCCGCGGTGGGGAGAGGAGTGGTGGAAGTAAGTACGTGGCCGATTGTATGGTGCGCGAGGAGGACTCAAACAAGATCATCAAACTTTGGAGAGCTGGAGCCAGAGTGTACATATGCGGAAGCGGTTCATTCAGCAGATCTGTGAGGGATGCAGCGACGACAATCGCAAAGGCGCGGGCAGCGGCTGAGGGGCTGGATCTGCATGCTGGGACAAATGGCGAGATGAACGAGGTCGAGCGGAGATTCCGGGATGCGTTGACCGAGCGCGTGGCGAGTGATGTGTTCGACTGATAGGTTTTCCATTCCTCTAGGGTATGCTCAAAGTGAGCATTAGCCAGCAGGAACGATTTGCTGCGGAGTTCTGGCTTGAAAGGGCGCACAAGGTTTATGAACCTGTATACATTTCCAGATGAGCCGTACCTCGACTTCGGTGCGAGATAATAAATGATCAAGTCCAGGCGGGCCGAGGAGGGCGCTGTAAGGCCTTCGTTCAATTTCGGAGGGACGGAAACCGCGTGAACTCAGAGGCGTATTGTTGATTCGCACGCTGATGGCCGAATGGCCAGCTTTGCGGGGCAAAGCTTCGGTCTCTAAGTAGTGGGGTCCGCCACCGGGCGCCGCCTAGAAATTCCGCCGCTTTGGGCGCACTTGCTGCCGCCCGCGGGCTGCTTGGCTGCGGGTATGCAGACACACTGAACGGTGGAGAAGCAACGGACCAAAAAAGCTACAGGTACTCTCGATTCTGATTCTGAATCTAAAGATTGTTTCTGCCCCTGTTCGACGCAAGCACTTGCCCCATGAAGCCAGCAACAACATTGAGTGAATGATTCGCCATTGCTGCGGTTAGGACTAGTCATGAATAGCAAGCTGTCTCCAGCATCAAGCCTCCGGTGGTCTGTGACCCATTCGGGAACAAGAGTATGGCTACGTGTTACCAGTGAGATGTAGAGTGCTCTGATCTGCGATATTGAAAGCACGATTGTTGTGCAAGCGCTGATTTTCGATGACGCAACCCGCCTTATGATTTCTTGACTGATTGTATTGTGCTTGCTCGCGTTCCTTAACGATGATGGCTCCCAGTCCGGTGAGCTTTCTTTTCATCGTCTTCAAGGTATGGTATTTCAACGGCGCGCGCTTCGCAGAAAGCCCGCATGGCCTTCACATCATCGCTGTGTCTACGCTTGGGGCATGGATGACTGCAACAGCGCAAAGCTTGTCTCGAAGGCAAACTATTGGGCTGGGTCACGACGGATCGTGGACGCTTGACGGCTCCTCCACGTCAAGGCATTCGACGCTCAATCGTACTCGTGCTTCGAGGTCGCAGGGCCCGTAGATCGGAAAGGTTTAGGAGAGACTCTTGCCAGGTCAACCCTTTGCAAGCATAAGACAACACGCCGTCTTGGACTGCGGTCGGCATCGTTTGGACGAAAGCTGGGTGCGGGTGCGTCAACACAGGCCGCTTCAAGCACCTGGAGCGCAGGTCGTAGGGAGGTAATGATTCACCACATCCATCGATCACTGCAATGCAGTTCCAGACAGAGATTCAAGAGGTCGTCGAAGGCACGCTCAAGAGCGTGGCGCGACTGCTGCGAAGTCCTGTAGGATTCTCCGCACTTTTGCGCACCCCGCGGGATCGGCATGTGCATCGAGGGTGCCACCAAAACAAGGTTCGATCAAACTGGGCTACGAGAAAATGATATTAGCCGGAATTGAGGCTCCGTCGTAATCACACCGGAGGAGTGGTGGGCACGTTATCACAAATGTTAGATTGCTTTCGCAAAGATCGCGGCAACTTGATCTGCTCGGCGGTCTCCTGGGCAGCGGCTGATATGGACCAAGTCAAACATGATCTGTGCCTGATATTATTGTGCCGCGAAGAAGCTTGCTCGGGTCTGTTGCATTTTGCGTGATCGGTAGTGTCATGAGTTGGGTGAACGAACGAACGGCATCTCCGCCAGCGGGTCCTGGGCGAGACCGTGCGACGGAAGTGGTCACGTCGCACCTATTCCGTAATGTATGTATAATAACAGTGCTGCCGAAGACCATATCGAGTGCCGGACGATGCAATGCACACTCGAGCACATGCATGTCCGGTCGCGTGCCTGTTGTTCCCGGGCTCGTGCACGGAGACAGGCGAGATAACAAGCTCGTCGACGCTCCTCAGAGCAAATTCACAGGCGCAGGCACGGTGCAGAAAGCAGTGTGAAATAGGCGATGACGAGCATCATCCATTGTACATACTACTATTCTCCCCAGAATTACAACTTAGATACGATCCGTCAGGAAGTAGCAACATCGCATAGCGCATGCCGCGGCAGGAAGCAGCTGCCGCGAAACGCTAGCAGCGCTACCTTAAGGGACGACTCAAACATGCTTCTCGCTGGCAGTCTCGTTGTGACGAATCTCGATCTCCTTTGCGGTTTGCTCCAAGCTGATGTGAGCCACAGCATCCTCGCCATCGAAGATCTTGGCACACTCCTCGAGAGTGAGGCCCTTGGTTTCCGGGAAGACAAAGTACACCCAGATAAGCTCGAGGAAATCCCAAATCTGGCCATTGTTAGTGATGAATGGTGAGGGCCTCTGCTAGAAGAACTTACAGTGTAGATCAGCCAGAAGTTCCACGCGTGGGGCAGGTTGTGAATAGCGAGCGGGTTGGTCTGAGCCGAAAGAGCGAGAATGGCCTGGACGGTGATGTTCATGATCATGACACCCTTGGCACGGAGGAAGAACGGGAGGACTTCGAGAGTGTATGAGACCAAGAGACCAGAGAAACCGATGGCGTAGAAGACACCAAAGATCCAAATGAAAGGGATCTGAGCAATGCCGTAAGCCTTGGCAGAGTCCGACTCGACTCCTCCATGGGTTTCGAACTGCCCAGCCAAGGCGGTCCAGATGACGAAGCAAACGGTCATACCGGCTGCAGAAATGAGAAACAGTGGGCGACGCCCGAACTTGTCGACGGTCAACGCAGCGCTGATCGAGAGATTAAGCTGAGTGTGGTGTTGCCGAGGGTAAGACCAAGCTTCTGGGTCTGGGATGTGATACCGCAGGCTCGTAGATCAAGTTGGCGTAGTTCGAGATGACAGCATTGCCGGAGTACTGTGAGATAACACCGATGGTGATAATGATAGCGAGCCTCCAGCGGTTGCCCTTCGTCTTGAAGAAGTCCATGTAGCTGGTTGTTGCAGCAGCATGCTTCTCCATCTTGAGAGTCTCGCTGATTTCGCGGAATTCGAATTGCACTGTGAGATCTTGCTCATTGCCGTTGGCGTGGTACTTGGCCAGTAGCTGGAGGGCTTCCTCATGACGATCCTTGGAGATGAGCCATCTAGGAGACTCGGGAACACCCCAGACGAAGACGAGTTGCACGAGAGCAGGAATGATCTGGAAGAGGGTCAAGATACGCCACGACCAGTCGCTCTTATAATATGAGAGGCCGAACCCGATGGCGTTGCAGAAGAAGCTTCCCAAGTTCCACAGGCAGTTGTAAATAGTTGTGAAGGGAGCACGGTGTTGGGGGTGAACAACCTCGGTCAAGAGCATGGGCGAGGCCAATTGACTGAGAGAGTTGCCGAATCCGAGGATGAAGCGGCCGGCGCAGAACACTGGACGACGTTAGACTCTGCATGCCAATGTGTGCGAATGCTCGCAACTCACTTCCGTAGTTCTGAGAAGCAGTGTTGATGATGGCGCCGATGACCATGAAGACGCAACCGCTAAGGATACAAGCCTTGCGGCCGAATCGATCGGTGATGGTCGGCACGGCAAACATAGAAAGGATAGAACCGATGGTGAACATGTTGGTCAACAAGCCGAGCAGGTTGGACTTGCTTGCGTCTGTCCCGATATCGTCGAAGTAGCTCTCCCAGTAATCATACTGCTGCAGCAGATTGAGAAGCGATCTGTATCGGTGTCAGCAATGAGATATGTCATCTCCCGAATGGACGTACCCATCGTAACCGGTGGTTGCTGAGCCGATCAATAGGCCCAAGGCGCAGTTGATATAGAGCTTGCGAATGCTCGGGTTCGTTTTCCAGTTGACCTTCTCGAATTCCGGGGCATCGTCGAGGGCGTGCTGTCGAGTCTCCTCGGCATGAGCCTGAATGTTTGCTGACTTGAGGGACACCATAGTTGCTATGGCCACGTAGGGCTAAGTAACTGACACTGGCCGAAATGAAGGAAGACGTCGAGCTGATTCAGCGAAAAGGCGACCACGAGACAAGGAAACCAGTTGTCTGGGGGAGGGTGCCCATGAAGACTAAATAGCAATCCTGGAGAAGGGGCCGTCCGACAGTTTCGTGTCCGGCGTCGCGAAGTTCTGCCGGTGGACCCTGTAAAAGGCTAGATCTAGATCTGCTCGACTTCCTAGGCTGAAAAGGATCCGGGGTAGCAGTCCACGCCCAGGTTAGATACCCCAACGGGGCAGAGATATAGCGAAGTGTTGCCGCATGCTGCGCAGACCAATTAACGCGTGATGCAGGGCATGCATTAAGAGTAAGCGTAATAGATCTTGCCGACCTAGACGAGCCTCTGCACGCGATACCGAGAGCCGTGGTTGCTTTGAAGGTGTGCCGGAGTTGAGGCTGGACTCTGTACGCCAGCAAGTCAGCTTCGCGTGCACCGGCTAAGCATCGGTGCATTCCGTTAAGCATCGCTTGGATAATTCCACAAAGCTTCTCATTAGTCCCGGGGACTCATGATACGGCAACCGAGGATCTGCCTGGTCCCGAATGAATTTAGGCAAATATGACCACTGCACCTGACCATCTGTGACCTAAGCTAGTGGCGGCAGAGCCGAGCTTTGATTGCTGGTTGCATCTGATTTCCTGTCCATACACCGAAAACGTGTATTGACTCAACATCTAGAAGCTATATCAATGTATGGAAGCGGGTCTGTCTGTTCCGTGCATCAGGATATGGAGTTGAAGCATGAACGGTAGCATGCCTTTCTCGGCGCCCAATTTAGCGCCAAGTCAAAGTGAGACCCGATCAAAGAGCCGGAAGCGTGGTTGTATTGATTTCTACCATGCTTCTCTGAGTCTGGACACCAAATGCGTCGTAAGTACAGGTCAGGAGTGCGCCATGTATTGGCAGAATCGAACGAAAGCTTGGATAAAGACGCATACACACTGTTCTTGCCTGAGCACAGGGAGATATCGCTTCCAGAGCCTGATCGGGCTGCTAGTGCAAATGAGCCTGTACGTCGTCGCATGGCAGAAGCTCGCCGAGGACATCTTTAATTTTAGGCTTCGCTCGGCAAAAACAGCCTATTCTCAGCCGCCGTGAAGACTGCATGCCATTACCTTGCCAGCAGCTCAGATTGAGATGCACGATGTATAGCAGTCGTGTGACCCTTGCCTATGCGTAAGTCTCTGGCTCCTGCTCCAGACGAGCGGAGTTGAAACCTGCGGCGCAGGGATCCGGACACGACTTTAAGGCCCGGTCAGATTGAGCCGCGTTAAAGATGAATAGCATTCCCCAGGTCAAGGTCCTCTCACACCAGAACTATAATGTCGCAGTCGTCAGCCTTTGCAGACCTGCTTTGCGGTGAGCTGACGATGCAGGCGCCGTGACGGGCTAAGGCTGCGGGTCAGAAGAGCCAACGGTCGAGGAGCGCCGTGGACTGTGGAACTAGGGTGAAGCTCTGCCGTTGCTGATGCAAGCTGCGGCCTATGCCATCCGCTAGAACCCGTTCCATAGCGAAGAGGTAGATGCTGTTGATCCCAGGACAGAAGCCAAAGAGTTCCTCGAGGGTTCGCTTATCATCTTCTGCCGTCCGTCTTCACCCTAGGTCTCATAACTATGGCACCGAATGAAGGCAAGTCTGCCATATTACTGAACGCATTTCTCTAGTGGTATAGCTCGAGCCGACCTGTAAACGTCTGATGCGGGTAACGAATGGTGCAACATCGCCAGCACTCTCGCTCACACGCCATGCTACTACATGTATGATAGCGAGTCGACATCGGGCCGCGCTCCGTACCCGAGTTCTTACATCGAGCCCACTGCTCCGACGAAAGTCCTATTGCAGCGTCCGAATCCACATCGCTGCGGCCAGCGATTTTGTTTGGTGAAGAGACAGCCGCCCACGACAGCGTTCCCAGGAATGTGGAAGGGATGGCTGTGATGAGTGCTTGCAGACTGGAGGATCAGAAGAAGTCTGTCGCCTGACACTACTTGTCCAGCAGCGTCACTTTTTCTTGCAGCCGCCTCGCTCAACTGAAAGTCCGACAGTAGGTCTGACGCTGGCACCACCAGGTGCGCCCGCCAATGGGATGAAAGAGCCATGCACAATATGTACGGAGAAGCTGAGTTCGAGGTTGTTGAGCTGATTCGATTCTCTTTCGAGACGTGTTGCCGTTGTGATCAACAGCATGCGAATTCTTAGGACTCGGCAACATTTGTGCAGAGTGTTCTTGTCAACACATCCGGCTACGAGCGTCACTCGAGCGGAGCATGAAGCCACGTCGTGAGCTCAATACTGGCATCGACGTCGACACTTACCGCGGCTAATCAGACAAAGTCTCAGCCAAAAGAAATCGAGAGCACCACAGAGCTCAGCCTGTGGGTGCCGAAGAGACTGATCTTTAGCATGAAACGCTAAGCGAGCGAGATTAGTTGTACTCTTCCTCGACGTATACTCTGCCGTTGGCTCTTGCCTTCAGAAGGACTTGCACACGGCGACTCGTCATGGAGAAGACTACCAACAGAATCACGGCCGAGTACAGTACGTACGGGTGGACAGTATCGGTTTCCTTTGAATACCGATACGACTGGTACAGGATGAGCATGTTGGTTTCCGAGGTGCCTGATGACGCCAACGGAAGGCGATTGAGGGAAACATGCCGTTGTATAGGCTTCTGGACAATCGAGGCAGTGCCGAGGCTGCGGTACTCCAACTCTTCTATCAGCCTCGCCGTGATGTGGGAAGCTGATCTGGTTATGGTTGGTGTCAGGCTGTAATTGGCGGCGTAAAGCCGCGGATGCTGCTCGGGCACGTCCTCGGCTGCTTGCAGCTGCAGGCGGGCCAGATTGTCTACCCCCTGGTGGAATTGATTGGAGTCTGTAGTTCGAGGCCGAGGCCGAGGCCGTTGGGCTCATCAGAAAGGATGTAAAGCGCTGTGATGTCCTGTCAGATCTGAATAAGTTTTTCGATCACATCGAAGCAAATATATCCCATCTCAACCTCATCCTTCGAATTGTTGAACGATGGCGCAGCGCCCATCCCAATGACCATGTGTGTGGAAGCAGAAGAGGCATAATACACGGTCGGCCATCGCTGACAGCGCTGCATTGAATGGCCAAAATTACCTAGCCAGCAAAGGACCATATCCCATCAAGCCAACGCCAAAGCCTCATGCCAAGCACTTCAGCCACAACAGTGTGGCACGGTTTTGGGAGTTTCAGCCGCGGTTCTTCACTTGTGGCTTGTGATCTAATGCGTACCTAAGCCTACGAGTGCGGAGACTGCATCTCCCAGCAGCGCTCAGAATCTAGCATCATAAACATTGATCAGGGGCGAAAGCGGACCTTGTGACGGACCATCAAACAAGATGGCCTCGATGACTCGCCTCTTCGGCGAATATGACAAGCGCACCGCGGCCCACGCTCGAAGCAGGAAGCTTTCGCCAAAGGGGTAGCATGGGTGGAGGGCAACCTCGTACCACTTGCGGAAGCGCGCATCCCGCTTCTCGACCAGGGGTTCCTGCATAGCGATCTCACATACGATGTTCCCGGGGTTTGGGATGGACGCTTTTTCCGACTGGATGACCACCTCAAACGCTTCGAAGCTAGCACGCAAAAACTGCGGATGAAGCTCCCGTACAGTCTGGCTGAGATTAGGCTCATGCTTGTCGATATGGTCGCTCGTTCTGGCTTGCGAGACGCGTATGTCATGTTGATCTTGACGCGTGGTCTGCGCGGTGTCCGTGGCTCGAAGCCGGGAGATCATCGCAATGCACTCTACATGTTCGTCCAGCCCTTTGTCTGGGTCATGACGCCGCAAGAGCAGCTCACGGGCGGCAAGGCTATCGTGACACGGACCGTGAGACGAATACCGCCTGGCTCTATAGATCCGACGGTCAAGAATCTGCAGTGGGGAGATTTCACGCGAGGTATGTTCGAGGCTGCGGATCGTGAGGCTGGACATCCTTTCCTGACTGACGGCGACGGCAACTTAACGGAAGGAAGCGGATTCAATGTGGTGCTTATCAAGGACGGCATTCTGTACACACCAGATCGAGGAGTGCTCCACGGAGTGACACGGAAAAGTGTGCTAGAGGTTGCTTCGGGCATGAACATGGAAACACGGGTCGAAGTCGTGCCCGTTGAGCTCGCCTACATGGCCGATGAGATCTTTACTTGCACAACTGCTGGCGGAATTATGCCGATCACCTCGCTTGATGGAAAGTCGATCGGAGATGGAAAGGTGGGACCGATTACAACAAAAATATGGGATGCATATTGGCAGCTACACTATGATCCGAAGTACAGTTTTGCCGTGGACTATTTTACCGGATCGGACGCTCGGACTTCGAAGCTGTAGACCTAGTCGAATTGTTTCATGTCGGAAGAAGTGACTGTCGGTCCAATTGATCGAGTATCATCTCACCGCGACTTCACCGCATCCCAGAGCTCACCCGTGAAGTCCTCCATATCCCGAACGAAAATCTCTGGCTTCTCCCAAGCCGCGAAGTGCCCGCCCTCATCGTGTGCTCGGAACCAGGTCATGTTGCCAGTTGTAGCCACCCAATCTTTCGGCGTTGGGGAAAGCTCTTTGGGATACCATGAATATCCGAACGGCTTCTTGATGTAATACTTGGGATTGGTATGGAAAGACTGGTTCAAGAACTGGCGGTAGGGGTGAATGCAGCGTGCAAAGCACTCGGTGAACCAATAGAGCGTGACGGAATCGAGCATCTCGTCAAGTGATGGATCCGTGTCGGACCACTGCTGGAACTTTTCGCCGATCCTGCAGAAATCTGTCAGTCGACACGTAAGAGCAGTGCAATCGCACCTACCATGCGAGGAGAGCCAGAGGCTGGATGAGAGTGCCAAACCAATAGTCGCTGGTCTCGTACCATGCATACGTGCGTATGCGTTGCCTGTTGTGGCGAAGTCTTGCGCCCGTTTGTACGCAGTCCGCTCCTTCTCATTCAAAGCCTCAATCGCTCCCTCGTGAGGAGGCTGTACAATGCTCATGTTGACTGCGCGAGTTAGTACATCTTCAAGGAGCGCTCCGTAGAGTCTTACGATGCGCTGTCTTGCAGTGATCAGAAGTGGTCACCAGTATTCTCGCTAGGACAGAGCCGATATCGCCACCTTGTGCAATGAAGCTGTCGAAGCCTAGCCCGACCATGAGCTTGTCCATCATACGCGCCGCATCCTCGCACCCAAAGTCTGCATGCAGTGGAGGCCCAGCGGAATAGCCATAGCCAGGCAGTGAAGGAACGATCACGCTGAACGGCAGGTTCTCTGGAGTGTACTTTCTTTTGAGCAGTTCCAACGTGCCAACGAATTCCAGGAAGCTGCCTGGCCAGCCATGGAGGAGCAGCAGAGGTGGTGCATCCCTCTTCCCGGAGTAGAGAGCAACGAAATGGATGTCGAGAGTCGCGTCTTTGTGTTCAATGGGCACCGTGAAGTTTGGCAGGGCATTGATCCGCGCCTCGGTTTTCCGCCTTGTTCGTCAGCGACGAACCACAGACACGTGCAAAGCTGCGTACCAATCATACTTGTGCAGCCAATGGTCCTTTGCAGAGGCAAGCCAGTTTCGAGATATACCGAAGTGTCCATCGGACTGTAGGTTCTCGTATGTCTTGGGTCCTAGCTTGGACAATCTCAGAAGGTCTTTGAAGTCTTCAAGCTCTTGATCAGATACGTTCGCTCGAAATGGTTTCGGGTGAAGCGTAGCCTCCGCAGGTAGTCTGTCCCAAGACATCTTGCAGGTCTTGTGCCTCAATCGTTTATTCGCGGTGACAGAAGTGCGTTTCCGTGAGGGCGCAGAGAAATATATCCTCTGAATCCTGTACGCGGTGCGGGGTCACGATGCTCACGGAACGACTGCCAGTCGCAGCGGCGGGCGCTGAAGGGTAGACAATGACTCGAGACACTGTCAATATCAGTGCAATTACCAATCCTCGCTGGTCGAAGAATCACGCAAGATGAACACTGCAACGGGCCAGTACGCGCCATGAGCCGGCCCATTCGCCAGTCGATCGTGCCCTGCCCGCCTAAGCTTCCAAAGGCCGCATTCATCGTTTAGAAGTCGCATCATGGCATATGGGCACTGCTAGAGTACCAGCAAGATCCTTCGATCGAGCTGACGGGTACGCCGCATGGTTTGACAACAAGAAAGTGATTCGGGAAGACCCTGGGAAGGCAAGACGCGCGACGCGCAGGCGTATAATTTACTAAGGCCGACAGGCACCAAAACGCGCCTTGATGTCACGCAAGTCTTGGCTGACACCGCGACAGAACTCTTCGCGTGTTGGCTGCCACTCCTGGTCGAAGTCGACATTGATATCGTCAAGGTCGCTAAATCAAATCGACATCGCCGAGGAAGAGGTGATCTTCCATATCCCAATCCCAGACAGAGACGCTGTCAAAATCACCATCGAGAAGGCCTTCCTTGCTGCGAGAGCCAAACACGCCGGCAACTACGTCATAGCTTTCCTGCAGAGCAGTCTTTGCAGCAGCTGCGATGGTCACGTCGACGTCTCGACCTTCCTCCAGAGCAGACACCTCTGCCAGCACCATGGCTAAGAACATGTAGTTCTTTACATTGGTCTCGCCCTGCTGGATTCGGCTGCGTGTAAGACTGCTGAGGCTTGTCAAGGCCGTTTTCCAAGGTTCTCTTCTTGGTCCGCTGCGTTCCAGGATGCCATCGCGCAGATGTGCGCGTGTCTCTGAGAGCAGTTGCAAGGAAAGCAGAGTCGAGGCCATCCGGATGCTTTCACGGAACATGCCACCGCCCACGTCCAACAGACGCGAATATGCCTCGTCTGGCTCAGGCGTCATGAAGGCAAGGGCAGTCTCCATGACAACAAATTGGGAGTAATGGTATATAGGGTCGGCGCGCGCTTGGACAGCGAATTGGGCATTCAAGGCAAGCAGCAGTCGCCTGACGTGGAGATCGAGTAGCGAGCGTTCATGGGACAGCAATGCAGGTGCCGTCGCCAGAGTGCGGCATTCCTCAAGGATCTTCTGGGTGAAGTCGATGGCTTCCTCGTATCTTACATCGACGCGGAAGTCGTTGATCAGGTTGACGACCTGTAAGCGGAGCGGGAAAGATCTCGCCAGAAGGATCTGGGCATTTGGACTACGTGTGGTGCTGCTTGCTGGGTCTACCGAGGCGCTGTTGTCATTGAGCATCTCTTCGTCTGTGGAGTCATGCGGCAGCTCGGTGTCAAAGTCCTTCAGCCTGAGCCTGACCGGCATTGCCGAGTCGAGGGAACTTGATAGAGCGAACTCGATAATCGTTGCCCACAGCCGACGCCTCAACTCTGCCGCATGTTCGGACATCGACGGAAGATGTCTGGGGTCTCGATGCAGACCGATCTGCATTGCTTTCTGGAGCAGAGCACCACCCGACACCCACATCAAATCTGAACCTACGCAGTTCACCAAGCGAGCCAGCAGTGTCAGGCAGTGTATCTGTATCGCCATCATGTCCAGACGATCTTTCTCCAGCGGGCCTGCTAGCCAGATTTCTGATGCATGGATCCAGCTCTCGATTGCGGAATGTTTGATGCGATTTGAAGCAACAGAAGAGCCAATGGCGGTTACCAACACGACGAGCAGACGCTGTTTGATGGAAGCGCTGATGGGATTCGTCCAAAAGGCAGCCGCATCGACTCTATAGCTATGCTCGTGGAGAATACGATGGACTGATTCGAAGAATCCGAAGTACAGATCCATCATTCGATCTGCTGTATGACGATCTGGCATTTCAAGAACGACTTCGCCAAAGGCCGCCCGGCTCGGACGACTCGCCTTTGCACTTCTGGACAGCTGTTTGTGTTGGCTAAGCAGGACGCCAATCTCCTTGACATCCGACTTTGCGTCCGGTACGCCATCGAGTCCAGCAGCCGACGCACTGGCCCTGGCGAAGCATCTCATGATGTTTGAGAACTATGGTGGTGAGCAACGAAGGCCAGAATTCTGCAGCATGACCAACCTCTGGTGCTTTCCCGAACAGGACGCCGATTGTATCGCTGACTTTCAAGAGACGGGTCTTCTTCAGTCCCATCGGCCTGCGAACGTCGTCGAAGGCTTGAGATGCGGCTGGGCGACCCGTGGATGTGGACGAGCTCTGGTCATCTGCCACGGCTTTCCTTTGCTCGCTCAATGGTCGCCGAACTGAAACGGTTCCTCCTGCTTCCGCAACGACGTTCGATTCAGGCGATGCCAGTCTGATACCAAGCATGGCTGTTGTTGCGGACGTAGATAGTTCTTCACGGACTGGCCGAATCGCGCGCTTATTCGACACCGCTTGGACGCTCGGGACAATGTTTGGCGTCGGGTCCCGGTAGTTGCAAGGCACTCGATGAATGATGCATGGTTTGCAAGGATTTGATCTGTCGCATCTCACTTTCCGGCTGCGGCATTCGATACAAGATAGTGCCGGTCACGCCGACGTCGCATTTCCATGGTGTTCTGCGGAGGTGCAAGACACAGCGGTGCATCTCGAGGAACGACAAGAAGACAGGGAATGCCAGACGGAGAAGAAGACCGAGAAATTCGGGCTTGGCAAAAAAAATTGCCGCTTATGTCCGGGTTGCTGCGGTTTCTCTAGGAGGTCGCAAACGCTGCAGGCTCTGTACCAAAGGTTGGTGGTGATCGGCCGAGCTGACAGACCGACTTCTACAGACCGAGCCTCTCATGCTGCTGGCTGCCAGGAGATGAAGATAAAAAGAGTCACATCTGAATTCTGCATTCGCTCCAAGTAACAACATCATGAAGGTCCTTATCGTTGGCGCCGGCGTCGCAGGAAATGCTCTAGCAGTCTGGCTCAGCCGCCTCGGGCATTATGTTACCGTCGTCGAGCATTTCCCCACTTTTCGAACATCTGGTCTTCAGATCGACCTCCGCGGTCCGGGGATCGAAGTGCTGAAGAGGATGGGCCTGGAGTCGGCATTCCGCTCGAAAATGGCCCCCGAACAGGGCATCCGCATTGTCGACTCAAAGGGCAGAGTCTGGGGCAGCTTTCCGGTAAACAAGAGTGGGAAAGGCCTGCAGAGTTTTACGACGGATTGGGAGATTATGAGAGGCGACCTTGTGCGCTTGTTAAGAGAGGCCTGCTTGGAAAGTGTGACATTCAAGTTTGGTGTGACTGCGAGTGCTTTCGAGGAGTCCTCTGAGGGGATCAACGTGAAGCTTTCGGATGGAACCTCATCAACCTACGACCTCGTGGTTGGGGCTGACGGCGTTCACTCTCGCGTGAGGAAGCTCATGCTTGCGAAGCAGGATGCTATCGAAGATCCGCTGCACCCGATCGCTGGCGGCTCAGTGGTAGCTTACTTCACTTCGCCATCAGCTCTTCAACCTGGAGAGGGCTTCAACGCAACCGGATACCTGTCGACAGGCAAGCGTGGTATCATGACTCGGAGGTCGAGTCCGGATTTCATTCAAGTCTATATCGGCGGACAGCCCGACCCAAAGGTCTTCAGCGGTCTGACGCGTGGCGACACGGAAGCTGAAAAGCGTGCCATGGCTGAGTTCATGCACGGCGCAGGCTGGCGTACTGAAGAGCTTATCGGAGCTATGATGACATCAGAAGACTTTTACTGCGAGCGCATAGCTCTGGTGCAGATGAAGCGTTGGTCTGCAGGAAGAATCGTGTTGCTAGGCGATGCAGGCTACTGTCCTTCTGTAAATACGGGGATGGGCACGACTTGTGCGCTCGTTGGCGCCTATATCCTGGCGGGAGAGTTGGCGATCGTTGATGATTGTGGTGTCGACAGGGCCTTACAATCTTACGAGGCTACGTTCAGGCCCTATATGGAGGAGGTGCAAAAAGGACTGGTCGACGAGGGCGGTATGTCATTGCCTAACGGAAGGGCTGGTGTCCTCGGCTTCAACGTACTGGCAGGTCTGGCAGCTCTTTTCAAGATCAACGTCGGGAAGTGGATGATGAGGGAGGATATCAAATGGAAGTTGCCCAAGTATGAGTCTCTTGCGCTGGCCTGATAGCACAGATTGCATTGGGCCGGAGCGATCAAGTCCTATGCCAGGCTTCGAGAGCCGTGCATCGGAAACATCTTCATCTCCACTCCAGATTGAAAGACCAGCGAAGTCTTCAATTCCAGTTGTCGCCGCGTAGGTTAATGACAGCCTCCTGAAACTTCGCCACGAAGCTGTCGGTGTCCTTCTCGTCATCCATGTCCAGATGGATGAAGCCTTCCTTAGCAACCGACTCCGGCACAATCGCAAGCGCTAGACCATTGATGCTTCTATCGCAGCAGATCCTCATTGCGGCATTTACGCAACCTTCCGTGGTTGCGAATTCGATACCTTTCGCTCGAATTGCTTCGTACACAGCCGCGGACTGTATGACCGTTCGAATATAGGAAGGCGCAATGTACGCCACTCGTATGTGCTGATGATGGGATTGTCGACGGACGGTGCGCATCAAGCCTCTGAGCCCGAACTTGGAAGTGGAATACTCCCAGCTACTCAAATTATCCACATACCCTGCGATCGAGCCTCCGAAGATGAAGCAACGGTCACGGTCCTCGGCTACCGGGCTGCGGCGAAAGTAGTGGATAGCGAGTTTCAATGAATACATGACGCCGATCAGGTTGATGTCGATGATGTGCATACTTGGTTTAGTGGGCTTGCTTTTCGGATCTTCAAGTGCCATCATTGGGTCGCCGGAGCCACGTCCTATGCCAGCATTTGCTATGACGATGTCGACACTCTTATGCGGCGACTTCGAAACCGCAGCTTCGTAGAGCTCGGTCTGCTCTTCCCATGACCGCGTATCGGCTTTGACGAAGCAGATACCTTGGCTGCCAAGTTCGGCCTCCAGCGCCCGCCCGGTCTCAACATTGATGTCACAAAAGGTCACAAAAGCGCCTGCGGAAGCGAACGCCCTGACATATGCTTCTCCGATGCCTTGTGCCCCTCCTGTAACTATCACACTTTTGCCTTGACATTGCGAGAGGTCGACGGGTATGCTGCCATCAAATTGACGGGCGGGCGCGTAACCTTCGGGCATGGCTGCGATCATTCTGACCAACCTGTACTTTGACGAGTGAGGGTTGACACACGTTCTGCAACATCGTCTTACAGCTACCTCAATATAGCATGTTCAGTGGGCTCTGGTGGATCAGAGGCATCAAATGGTACCTGCGACATACAGAGGTGGGGCGGCCCGTGTTGTAGATCCTCGGCATCCCGCTGTGACCAACCCCGCCCAGTTGATTGGCTCCGGCATTGCTTGACTGCCGACTCGGCTCTCAGTCTTGCCAGCAAATCGGCAACGTCCTCCGGCCTACCTAGAGCATGCATCGATCCGGCCTAGGTTCTACGATACAGCGGCATACCAGAGCCGAGCAAAGCTACAGCAAGCGGACATGCGTATACAAACCATGATTACGATAGTCTGTACACTGTACGCTCATAGCGATCTCTCAAAGTATAGAAACAACACCGATGCCCGTTTGATGCCACGACTGTCACCAGGAAATTGGCTTCCACAAGCATCACGATACCTTGAACATGCCTCTCCTGGAACACGTGCCGTCCACGAATGGCTTCCACGAAGCTGCAGACACCAACGCTTTGGAACCATTCAGTGAGGCCATCTGCGCCACCGACGGCGAGGTACCTCTGATACAGAACGTCGTCCGGCAGCCTTTGAATGGCACAACGACGCGACACAAGAATGGCGTACCGTTTGTCCGCAGTCTTGATGATGAGCCAGTGTTCTCCCCAGTATCAGATGTGCCATTCAAGAACCAGTTGGCGTTTTCTCCTCGCAAAATCAGAGTCATCACAGTCGGGGCGGGCTTCTCTGGCCTCATCATGGCGCATAAGCTGCAGCATAAGTATCCAGAGCTACGGGGAGTGGTAGAGCACAAGATATTTGAAGCCAGACACGACATTGGAGGGACTTGGCTGGCCAACACATATCCGGGAGTCCAGTGCGATGTACCTTCTCACATCTACGTACGTCTAGCCTCATCGAATGCCTGCGATCCCCTCGCACCGTTGCAGTTTGTCTTCGAACTGACCCAGGCGCTCAGGCATTCCCCTTTGACCCTAGCCCCGACTGGACGCGCTTCTATTCCAGCGGCGCCGAGATTCAAGCTTATATCAAGCGTACAGCGAAGAAGTGGTCACTCGACCGCGACGTGCACCTCAACACTCGTGTCAAGTCCGCGACGTGGCAGCCCGAGCCCGGTGTCTGGGCCGTCGTCGTGGAACACAACGGCGTTCAGCGTACAGAGCATGCAGAGATCCTCATCTCCGCCCAAGGCGGCCTTGACACGTACAAGTGGCCCAACAACATCCCTGGCCTCGATACATTCACAGGCAAGAAGACCCACTCTGCAGCTTGGGACCATGACTTCGATTACTCGCACAAGCGCATCGCTGTAATTGGCAACGGCTCATCTGGTATCCAGATCGTGCCACAACTGATCAAGCTGGAGGGAACGAGGGTAATGAATTTTGCTAGAGGCCCAGCGTGGATCTACTATCGTGTGCCGCCGTCGCAACACCTGGGCACAGATGACAGCGCTGAGGTAGACAAGAATCCCATGTATACCGAAGAACAAAAGACGGAGTTCCGCTGCAATCCAGAGAGCATGAAGCGGCATAGGAAGGCGATGATCGCAAGGACAAACAAGGCTTTCAGAATGGCAAGTGCCCTCACGATCGTCCACACAAATGTGCCGTTGTTCCTATCTCGCTGACGTACTCGACTACAGTTCATCAAAGGCTCCGAAGCCAACCAGGAAGCAATGCGCACAGCCGAGAAGCAGATGCGAGAACGATTGCAGTACGACGAAAGACTCTGCGACATGTTGATTCCCAAGTGGCCATTGGGATGTCGTCGCATCACGCCAGGCGAGGGATATTTGGAGGCATTCCTGCAGCCAAACTGTGACTTGACAACGAGTGCCATCACCACATCGACGGTAACAACATCCACACAGCCGATGGGAAAATTTTTGAGGCAGACGTCCGTGAGTGACTTTCCGCCCTGCTTGGTCACCACCTTAGGCGGCCTCTGGCACCACCGACCGAGCTGTTCCCTTACTGACCACGTTCTCTTCTGCCTGCAGTGATATGCGCTACCGGCTTCGACGTGTCCTTCCGCCCTTCATATCCGACATATGGCACATCCGGCCTTAATCTGCAGCAGCTCTGGTCGAAGGAGGCACCTGCTTCCTACCTCTCTGTCGCAGCTCCGCACATGCCGAATTACTTCACGATGCTGGGACCGCGTGCTCTGGCAGGACATGGCTCGCTTCTTGAGGCCCTAAGCTGGAATGCCGATTGGATGACAAGGTGGATCAAGAAGATCGCCACCGAGGACATTCATTGCGTGACGCCGAAAACGTCAGTAGTGGACCAATTGATGGCCTATGGCGATCGATTGCATGAGCGCTTGGTGTGGACGTAAGTGTGCCAACGAAAGAAACGCCTTTAGCTTGGTGGTGAGTAACCGCTGCTGACATATTTCGTTACAGAGGAAGTTGCAAGAGTTGGTATAAGCAAGGTACCGTGGACGGGAAAGTGACGGCGCTGTTCGCTGGCAGCGGAATGCTATACAAGCAGTTGTCCAGTGGAGAGTTGAGGTCGGAAGATATGGACATCGAATATCGGAGCTCGAACCGCTGGTCCATGTTGGGCAATGGCTTCACGGCGTTCGAGTTTGATGACAAGAGTGACTTAGCCTGGTACATCGAGAAATAATGGGAAGCGCGCCCCATAGACACACTGTGTGTGCTATCCTAGCAGGATCGGTTCGACCCTTGAAACAGGTGACCTACAGGAAATGGAAGGTAGCCTACATCGGATTGACATCTAGTTTCAGAACACTAGCGTACTATCGAGCGTTGCAGGATCGAAATGAACTGCAGACTGGTAGAGATCCAGTAATGTCGAACTCGGATCGCCGAGCCAGTAAAAGTCTTCCTCGGCGAGGAAATCAAGGATTCCGCTTTCCGACGCCAGAATGTCTGCAATGAGAGAGCTTGTCTGGCCAGTAGCAAACGGAAAGTAGCTAAAGCAGTCAATGCCATTCTTGCAGTTGTTCGTAGTGTGTCTCGAATCGCAACCAACAGCAATGATGTTATTGGTCGGAGACATATTGGACACGCCGCTCGACTGATCCAGCATCTGATCCGCATGACCAGTTGTGCTGATGGCGTTTGGGAGGCCTCCATTGTTGTCCAGGTAATCAAAGGCTTTCAATCGTTCAAACCCTCTCACGAAGATATCTGCCGTGGGCCACAAGGATGCGAGCTCCTTCAAAGCCAGTCTTAAGATGCGAATGTCGTCTGCGCCGCTCTTGAATAGATGTGGCATGCGCTGTGTTGACAGCAGAGCCACTATGGCGACCCCAACGTACCAAGTAGCAATAGCGCCTACAAAGCGCAGTTGACCTCGAGCAAGCAGATCCTTGAATATTCGGGAAACTGTTGATGCCGCAATGAGTGCAGGAGTATGAACTTGTGGTAAAGTGGCATCTCGTTGCTGCATCCCACAATTCATGTACAGAATGGTGATGGTGGTCAGGTATGGTAGATGTAACTTGTGAACATCCCTGGAGAACGGCCTTGAGGTGGCTGAGGCAAGCGGTAGTCTGAGTGGAGTCGGTAACGCGTCTTGCCAGTTGATCAATTCCTTAGCCAACTCGGAAGGGAAGCTGGGTGTATGACTCCGGAACAGGTGTTGGCCGACTCTGCCTATGATGGCACACAGGGAAACCCAGTGGATGAATACCAAAGCTCTTTCATCGGATGGATTTGGGAAGTCAGAAACGGAGGGCGCCTTGACATCACAATCGTCCGGATTGATGGTACATGGCCGACCTTGGCATATTGATGTCAGTCGTTCACGAGCCTAGCGACCGGTCAGCCACATGCAGGATCAATTGACAGGAGAGAGACGTACAAACAGCGTCCACCAGATTCGACGCCGTAGGCCCTGCGATGCTTCGCCGCCCACATGTTCAAAGGTCTTTGGCTCGCGGTGTAGACCCAATTGCTGTGCGTACTTGATAGCAAGTCCTGTCCACCAATACGCAGCATCTCGATTGACATTGTTTGGGCTACGAGGAGCCCACCAGTAGAAGAGCAAAATCGCTTGTAAGCACACCAAATGATCAGGCTCCTCGTCATCGTAGAATAACGTCTTCGCGCGGCGATAGTACTCGGCGGAGCAGCATGTTCTACCAAGGGCGGACGGATTCGAGTGCCCAGGAGTGCTAGTGCGTTCACCAGCAGTGGGGAAGGTGATTGTTCGACTGATTTCCGAATGTGATGCTCGTCAATCACTGGGCACCACGGCCAACAGAACTCATTGTATGACTCTATGCACGTCTCCTGAAGCTCTGGAGGTAGCAAGGGCTGCCAAGTACGATCAGGGACGGGTTGGCGATCCACGACGGTAGCTTCCTGTGCAAAGAATGGCATTATAGTTCCACTGAGGTATGCAGCGCCAGATGCAGTGCTCGGGGCATCAACTATGTCGGACATGGCGGCCTGGGCCTCAGGTGGCTGTGTTTGCGGCGTTTGCGCCAGTGAGGAAGCATTGTCGTCAGAGAATTGATGCCTGGGCTGGACCTCGACATTCTGAGCAATGGGGCCCGCCGGGTTTTGTGGTGGCAGAGGGAGTAGAACTGGCCAGGAATTGTGGGATCTGGTACCGCTGCTTCTCAGTGTTTTGGTGCTCCGGGGTTTGACGACTCTACCAGATGTTCTTGGTCTGAGGTGGGTCAGCGACAGTGGGCAGCTTGGACGAATGGCGCCTTACTCGCACACGGCGTCACCGCTGAGGCAGTTCGTACACGCATTGAGTCCGCCGGCACGCCGCTTCTCCAAGTCGCATCTCAGCTGCCTCGATCAGTAACTTGTGCGGTAACTACCACAGCGCCGCAGTTTACCTTGCGGTTATGACAAAGGATACAAACAGTGCGTGCGCGGCGCCTGCGGAACGATTCGGCTCCGGCCATGTTGGGAAACTGTGGTCAACGTGCCACCAAGACACTATTGACTCGCTCATGTCGGGTGGAAAAGCCGACTACGGCAATCACAGAAGATGTATCGCTGATGAAGGGAGCTGGCCAAAGTCGACCGCGACTGCCGAGAACCGCAACGCCTCTGCTTGCCGACTTGGCAGCCGCGGTTGTTCTCTCGCCAATCAGGAATCAGGACTGGGGAGGCCTCTGCCTCGGTATGTGTCGTGGCTGCCGTCTTCCCTCCTGTGTCTGGCTATTCATGCCTTACATCCTCTGAGTCCGACTCAGTTCATGAGTTTGTCCCAGTCAATGCAGGGGCCATCTCTAGGTAAGTCTCGCAAGCGCTTGTCGGTCAAGATCGCATGGTGCGCAGGCGTGGCACATATTCCTCGACTTACCTAGGTAAATCGCGGGGCAGATTGACTTGAGATGATTCTATAAAGCAGCTGGCCAACGTCTCACTTGAAGAGCCTGACGCCCGTAACAAGGCTCGTCTCACCAGATCATGGCGAATGGTGCTGCGCATCACAGTCTAGGCGTCCCGGAAGGCATGACCTGCGTGACGGTCAAGCTAATAGACATTTGCAGTATCTCAAAGGTTGGAACCAAATCCCTATTCACCCCGCCCGTGCCTGGCTTTGACTCTATCGGATCTGTACCATCATGGATCGTACTGCTCGAGCACACTTCCGGCCGCAAGGTGCTGTACGATCTCGGCATACGGAAAGATTGGGAGAATCTTCATCCGGTAGTTGCGCAGCGTCTGAAGGGTAGCACACATGAAATCATTGTGGATAAGGACATCGACGAGTATCTGAACGATATGGGCATCGGTAAAGAAGACATCGATGCTGTTGTTTGGAGGTATGTTTCGGAATCCTTCGCTCGAGTTCTCTGTCGGTGCTGACTATACTCGTAAGCCACACCCATTGGGATCATATGGGAAACATGGGCGTTTTCGACACCAAGACAGATCTTGTGGTTGGTCCTGGCTTCAAAAACCACTTCATGGGGACTGAGCATCCTTCACCTCTGGGTGCTCTCATACCAACCGATGTTGAGGGGCGGCGCGTCCACGAGATCAGCTTCGAGGCGGGCTCCAAGAACGTCGTGCAGATCGGTCAATTTTCAGCGTACGATTACTTCCACGACGGCTCCTTTTACCTGATCGACAGTCCTGGTCATTGTGTCGGCCATCTCTGCGCCCTTGCGCGAACCTCTACCTCCCCTAACACTTTCGTCTTCCTTGGCGGTGATGTTGCTCATCATTGCGGTGAATTGCGACCTTCCCGCCATGTGCCACTGCCCGAGTCTCTTTCGCCCAGTCCACTTCCAGGAGCTGCTTCGTCAACGACGTCTGCTTTCACCCCAAGACAGTGGTTCAGCAAACTCCAAGCCTCGCGCAATCGAGACACTGATATGGCCTTGTATCAGCCCGCGTTCGGCCACAATATGGATCAAGTCCTGGAAAGCATCGCAAAGACACAAGAATACGACAGAGACCGCCACATTCTGGTACTGCTGGCACACGACGCCGCCTTCAGAGACCCAAGCGTGCCAAAGCTTCCGGAAGCTCTCAACGACTGGCACAGCCGTGGTCTTGGGGAGAAGTTTCGATGGACCTGGATTGGCGATGTTTGGAGAGAGAGCCAGGACAGTGCTTGGTCATGCTGCTCATGAATAGGCCGACATATGATCGAATATGAGAGTTTCAGACGAAGAGTAATCTGAGCCGTGCACTTGACCCATATACACTCGAGTTGAACCGTATGCTCTTCGAAGAGCCCTCTTCAGACTGACTTTCGCGTTGCCAGACGCCACGCAGCAAGGCATGGAGACGAACTTTCGCCCTTCGGGAAAGGGATGCGTATGCGAGGTGGTCATGTCAGGCGCGGTGGACGAAGAGTAAGCGTCGTACAGCGAAAAGGCAGATGCCCTGGCCAGACCCGCTGTCACAATTCCTTGAGTACTATATGGTAACAGCATCCTCCCTGCATCAGTTGCCAACGAGAGACTGTTCGGAAGGTTCTTGCAGCACACCGGACTTACAACCTTTCCTCTTCATGACTGTCACGCCGCGTTATAACCCGACAGCTTCTTATCAACAGCAGTCTTCTCGTTCTCCAAAACAACGGCCTTTTCCATATTCTTCTTCGCCGGATCTGTGTTCCTCACCAATGATGCACTAATGACCGCCAACAACGCAAAACCCAACGCCGTGTAGTAGACTACTCGGAAGGCTTCGGTGTAGGACAGCTTCACTGCCCACTGGCTAGCGCTGATGACTTGTGCCGAGATTCCAGGCACTTTCTTGTACGCAGCAGCTGTGTTGAGTTTCGCCGCGGTGAGCAGGGCTTGATAGTTGGCACGGTCCGACAAGTCGAATGCGCCAGTCGCAGCTACGGTCGTTTGCAATTGTCTAGACAACTGATCGGCAAATTGGTTGTCGACGATGCTCGAGTATATCGCGGTGGCCACAGCGCCGCCGAGAAGACGGAATGTAGACATTGCTCCGATTGCCACGCCCCTGATTCTGGATGTCAGTATGATGAAAATTTAGGCTTGCGATGTCCGCACTCACATGTCTTTCTGGTGGTCGATGTTGAGGGACACCATCCCGAAAAGTAGGTAGAGGGCTTGATTGATGAAAAGTGACATGCCGAAAACTAACGCGATAGCTTTGCCCTTCTGGGTGGCCTCCACGGAGGAGAGGCACCCGATGAAGATGGTTTGCACGCAGATGAAGAACAAGATTTGCCATTTCTCGTGCCCGAGTCGCGCGCAGATGACCCAGACAGAAATTAGGGACACTGTATGAACGTGTTAGCGTGAGCCAGACCTGTCAGAAACCGCGTGGCACCTACACCAGGTACCCCAGAGAGTCAGATTGGCGTACACGCCACGCATGATAGGCTGATCGGCTGATGCGAACAAGAGTGACGACTGTCGCGGCCACAGAACCTGCATACTGTAGTATAGCATGCCAAGGCAGAAGCTCACGATCACCAAGACGTTGTATCTGTTGCATAGATGTGAGCAACGCACACCAGAACGTAGACATTGAGTAGACATACCCGCGCCACTGTCGAAACAATTGCGGCGGAAGCAAAGGATACTTCATCGGGACGTTGAATACCCAAACGAACAGCGCTACCAGACACAAGAAGCCGATAACAATGGGTGCAATGGTTGCTGCGCTGGCCCAGGGATGACTCCGACCACCAAAATTGAGGCCGACCAGGAATAGCGTCGTACCAGCGGTAAACAGTAGCAAACCGACATAGTCCAGCTCCTTGAGAAGTGTCCACTTAGAGGCCTGGTCTTCACTGTGCTTGGTGCTGAACTTAGGTGGATGGTAGAACAAATACATGCAGACGATGCCAAAACCGTGCCATGCAGTCATAAGCCAGTATGCACCTCGCCATCCAATCGCTGTCTTGGCGATGAAGACGTACGTGATGATAGGCGTGCAGATACATGGCAGAGCGAAGGTGCCGTAGAGCCTGATGTGAGGTCTTAGCAGCTGCTGACTGAAGGTATCTTTGCGTGCAAGGGGGAACTTACCAAGAGCGGACAGTCGATACTTGTTAGGAATGAACTCCATGATACAAGCGAATCCCATTTCCTGGAAGCCAGAGCCCACCCCGAAGAGCACACCACTCACAATCATCTGGGTGATGCTTTGACCTGTGGCGCCGACGATGGTGCCGACGAAGGAAATGACGGCGCCGCAGAGCATGAAGTATCTCCGTCCGAAGATGTCGGATAGACGTCCACCAACAGAGACCAGGATGGCGGCCCCAAGCGACCAGGTTATGTTGATCCAAGGGTAGGAGGTTGACGTGGGTCCGAGATCTGCTCGGATGTAGCTGATAGCCACCGAAGGAATGAGTAGTGTCATTTCGTATGCGCTGAGCTGTGTGCAAATTGCCTGGAAGATTGTCAGTGCACAGCGCCTCTCCTCGCTGTCAGAGGTCATACTAGAAACGCCCACACTGTCTCTTTGGTGATCCCGGGAAAGACTTCTGTTGGCAGCTTGGCCGTTCTTTCATCGAGGTCTTCCGCATTTGGTGGGTCAACATTCTCAACCCGGGCGGTCTCGGTCCCTTTCTCCAGGTTCGAATCCATGGTGAACGGATTTGTTGACTGCTCTAGACAGAAGTGCGGGCTCGCATGAAAATATAGGGGCATTTACTGCCATCTGACAACAGATATCCCAAGCGGGTTTATAAGATCTGCGCTCGATTTGGCGCACGCATGCGACTGACATTATCGCTGGCATGTTGGATAGATACCGATTGGCTGATACAGTGCCGAAGACCTCAGTTCAGTGAACCCTTGAGGTCAATCGGGACGTTCGCTTGGGGACCTTGGGTATTCGTTTGATCCTGCCGAGGACTGGTAGTACTTCCGATTGGTCCGGGGCAATGTTGGAGAGCATGGGGGTGTGGGGAAGTTTCGGGGAAGCTGGTCGCCACGTGCAATGCTTGCTTCAGCACCAGTTCGGCAGCCGTGTGCACCAATAGTTCGTACGACTCTGCCGCGCACGAAGTAAGTCAACTGTGGCAAGGCAGGCTATGACAACAAGTACCGAGCAATCTCATCACGTAAAAATGTTGATTCGTTTCTGGGTCAGGGAGGGCTCTGAAGGTCTGCTAACACATCGCTGGCCAAGTGGGTGAATTTGAATGAGCCTCACTTCAGTATCGGGTCGTCGAAAGGATTCGTCGCGGATTTACTGGCCAGGGAGGGTGCCGTCGGTGGCTGCAAACCTAAGACAACCGGTCGTTGACAACGCCCACGACTTCTTGTCACAGCTTGCCAGGACGAAATACGCCACTGGCGCTCGTGGGTTCTAGGCCGTAAGTGCAGTCTGACATGAGAATTGACATGCAAGTCTGTTAATAGCGATACCGCCAACGATGCTGCTTTTGCCCTACCGCTGCTACGCTGTCCGAGGCTGCCCTACAGAGATGCTTTGGGAGAGATCATCTCCGTAGCGTGCCTCGTCATGTGGTTCCCGAAACTGATGTCCCCTCTCTTCAATGGGAACATATCGTATGAGAGAGAACATTGGGGTTTTGCATGATCGACCATGAGTCGACTGCATAGCTCGGGGTCCTGAGACAAAGCAATGCGTGCCGGTAGAGACAGATTTCGATGGCACTACTGATGGCATGATGTTCAGTCTGGACGACTCTGTTCGTACGGCGGCTCTGTTGGGTGGTGACTGAAGCAGTGTAGACTCTTTGCAAGGATGTTGCTGTGGCTCTCATGGGAGACAGACAGCTTGTTGCGTGGTACGCAGCTTAGCTTAGCTTGCTGCGGGCACTGCACAAGTAGAGCTGGCCGTATGTCATGAGGAACCTGTCGTGATTAAGGTGTCATGAGGAAGGTGTGTGGAGTGGCGTTCACGGCTCAGCAGTGCAGGCGAGAATTGCGGTGTATACCAAGTAGCACCTTCCTCCGGACAAGAATGACGTAACGCAACTTCCGGTGCCAAGGTTTTTCTCGTGGCAGCTCTTTACTATAACAAGCCGTCCACATCTTCAAGTTCTTGTTTATACAAAAGTCCACGAGATATTGTCCAGCATTGGATCAACCAGAACCTATGGCTGCTGCTTGTCATGAGTTCCAGGCCAGGGCGGACTCCATGAGTTGGATTGGTTCGCAGATCCAGCTGGAGGTTTGAGCTGAGCCTTGCCCGAATGTCACGTCGTAGCAACGGTTCCTCGTGAGTTCTTGCTAGACTCGGAGCGGACACTACGAAATTGCGGACACGTCTGCAGAATTCACCAAAGCATTGCAGGAGGATCATGTGGTCTGATCAGGTGTCAATTCAAATTCTGGCGCTATTACGACCAGTCGCCGAATACTATACACATTCACACACTCCACGCTTCCAAGATGGCCACTGGATACTGGTGAGTACTAAGCAATACGTTAGCGGCCCACTTAAACGTCGGCGTAGCTTCCTTTACGCGCGCATGCCTCTTCGCATCGCTCTTGCAGCGCCGCCGCCAACCAAACTGTTCCATGCATCGGCAGTGGTCTGGTCTCGCGTGCCCAAGGCCAGGATCTGCGCTTGGGCATCCTCGCAAAGCGCAATTGCTGCATCGCTGGCGCCGCAGATGTTGCCGAGCTCATCGCAGATGCGGTTGGTGATGATGTTTGGGTTCAGTGCTTCCTGCTGGTTTGCAGCGATGACCGCGTCATTCGATTGGAAAGTGAACTCAGTAGCGGGACGGTTGCCGCGGCCGCCTTCAAAAGACATGGTGGGATCGCAGGTGCCAAAGTCGGATGCAGCGCCTCCTGCTGCTGCTCCGCCAGCGTTCGCGTTGTCGTTGCCGTTACCGTTCCCATTCCCATTGGCATTAGCGTTCCCGTTTCCGTTTCCGTTGCCATTTGCGTTCGCGTTGCCCATGCCATTGGCATTACCCATGGCATCAGCATTACCTGTGGCATTCGCATTCCCAGTGGCGTTGGCAGCCACGTCCGCAGCGGCAGCATCGTCAGCAGCAGTAGCTTCGATTGTCAGCGAGAATTTTCTGCAAAGTTGTGCAACACATACCTTCATCGTCACAGTTGTTGTCCGCTGCAACGTTGTCGTTCGTCGCGTTAGCAGCGGCATCACCGACCGCAGCACCGCCAGCCGCAGCGCCACCGGTTGCACCACCTGCAGCGTCGGCTCCGTTGAATGATGTGAATCCGGCCTCGACCAGTAGATCAGCAATACTCTTGCCGACTGCATTTATTGGTGCTGCTTTTGTCTGCGCCGACAGAGCATTGGCGATCTCGGCACCATCTAAGGCGGGATCGACCAGAGGGGTGATGCCCCTCAGCTCCTGCGTGGCAGGAAGCGTCGCATCAGCACAGATGTTGGGAAAGTCGGCGTTGAAGTTATTGAAGTTCTGCTCCGCGGCAACCAAACCAATGGCAGCCGCGACAGCATCTGCGCCTCCACCGAGCTCGGAGACAATCTTATCGGCTTGAGCAAGTTTGTCACACGGGTCAGCAGCTCCGAGCAATGTGCTGATCGTCTCTCCTGCAATTGTGGCAGCAGCACCTACGCTTTCGTCAGAGTTGATGTGCACTCACAGGCAAGAACAGCATACCTGGAGCTCCGCCTTGCACGTCCGCGATGGCCTGAATGGGTATCTGCTCCTGATTGAAACGTGCTGCGGCGGCGGTGAAAAGCACCGAGAGAAGGATGTATCGGTCCATAGCTAGGTAGTGTAACGTGAAATTAACGATAGTATAACGCGAGACTGAGGGTCGTATAATGAGAGGCTAGCTCGCAGAAGTTGAAAGACCGACCAGCGGAAAGAATGTAACACGAATGGATGGAAAGAAGAGCAACTCGTTCCATGGTGTCTGTCCTTCAATTGTATATATGCTACCGACAAACTGGCCGTTGAGAACCGGTTTCCTTGAAAGTGTACGGAATGGCTGAAACCCGATGGGCACTTCGCAAGCGAGCTCTGGAAGCGTGAAGGCGAGAATGTAGTGAGTTCGTAGCCCAAACGGGAAGACCCCAGTTCGACCCATCGATGGCCCATGTGGGCGCCACTATTTCGCTCAACGTCAGTATGGAAACGCTCGCGGAGATTGTGTCCGGTGGCAGGTTGTGCGGTGTTGAGGCTCTTAATGTCAGAACATGTTTCAGCTTGGCAGGCGAAATCCTTGGCAGCACGATACGGTGAAACGGTCAAGAGCGCCATCATCAGCAGCCGAACATCTGGTGCAGCTCCAGCCGCTTCGACATCCGTATGGACTCTGCCATTACGTAACTGGGACCGACTGCGCGAGCTTCAGCGGCGACATTTTGGTTGCTGCCACATCATGGCATGCCAGGGCGCGCTTTGGCACGTTCGGCTCTGGAGTGTCTTCTGTTCTGCTCTGTGGCAAACCCTGAGTGGACACCATCTAGGCACAACTGCATTGGAGTTGTGATGAGCCAGAACTGCCAGGACTCTGAGGAGGGCTCTGCGAAGGGATCCGAATGCGATCCATCGAGAACTTGAACAGTGGAACAAAAGTGAACGCCGGAGCGTTGCCCGCCAAGCTTAGAGCTCTGATCTGGGGAATCTCCGGTAGTCGGGTCCTTCCGAGTACCGCGAAACAGGAGCAGAACCATCGTCCAATAGGAAAACATCAGCGGAATCATGAATCTGCTGGGCGTCTTGGCCCAAGAACCTTCTTTGCTTGAGCTGATCAACCTCCGCTCCTGCCACGCGCAGCGAGATGAAGTTTCATGATGTCGTCCGAAGCACCCTTCCAGACCCTGGCTGGCAAGGTTGCAATCGTGACCGGCGGCTCCCGTGGCATAGGAGCTGGCATTGCTGAAGAGCTCGCGAAACGCGGTGCGAAGGTTCGATGATCACCTAGGGAGATACTTACTGTCACATATTAAGCCCAACTAACAGGTAACAATCACATACACATCCTCGTCATCGGCTCATGGCGTAGACGCTTTGATCTCACGACTTCCACTTGGAAGCGCAGTCAAGGTACAGGCAGACCTCCGCAAACCAGCGTCTCCCCACACCATCTTAGACGCGACTATCGAGGCATTCGGACCCAAAATCGACATCCTCGTCAACAATGCCGGCATCAACAAGCCCACTTCGCTCGAAACACTCACCGCCGACGACTTCTCTGACATGTTCGACACAAATGTCCGCGCGGTCGTCCTCATGACCCAGGCCGCCCTACCTCACTTCCATTCTTCGAATGCCCGCATCATCAACATAGGCTCCACCGCCGCTCGCGTTGGTGTCCCAGGCATCTCGCTATATACGTCCTCGAAACTCGCCGTCGAAGCTCTGACACGGTCGTGGGCCAGCGAGCTAGGTGATCGGGGTATCACAGTGAATACGGTGGCACCAGGCTCTACGCAATCGGATCTGTTGTCGGCATCAGCTGAGGCCGATGATGTCAAGGCAGAGGCCGCCAAAACTCCTGTGGAGAGAAGGGTCGGTACGCCGAACGACGTTGCGCAGGTTGTTGCGTGGTTGGCAAGTGAGGAGAGCAAGTGGGTCAGCGGTCAATGCATCTGCGCAAGTGGAGGCTACCGAATGTATTGATCAACTATCAACTGCCTACGCATTGCGACCGGCCACGGAGGCCTTCACACATGTTGAAGCTCTGTGCGGTCAGTTATCTTGGACGCTGCGGTCACCCATCCTTCTGTGGTTCCAAAGTTACCGGAAGCTCTCCGAGACAACGACTCTGTATATCTAGCCCGACAAGAAGCAGAGTTTGCACGTAATGGACATGCTGCCACAGCTGATGATCAATGTGTCTGGGCTCCGAGATGAGGAATTCTGTCCGCATCAGGGAGGGGGAGCCGATATCCGAATTGCTCCTCGCTCTGGGAAAGTACAATCGCGATCAGGTTGAACCGAATTCGCAACTCATGCTTCGATATTTGGCATCAGGCACAACACCGTTGGGGCAAGAATGACACGATATATCAACGAATACTGTCATCGCCAGCGACCTCGTGCTTTGAGTACCCCTGGTCGCTTATGGCCGCCAAGATCAAGGTACCGGCGTTTCCGAACTCTTGCCAAGCTTCTAAAAGGCCTCGCTCACACTGGGCGAAACAGTACGATTGGTTCGCATGAGCCTGGCTCGAGTGGCAGTCTGACCGATCCACGCTTTTGCCTCTATCTCGAAGCTCTCTGACTGGGCCTTGACCTATGCTTAGCGGAAATGCTTGCTCCACGTGTCAGCAATGCCAAGACGTTCCACTCAGCTTATGGCTCTCCTCCATACAGAGTAACTGAGAATGCGGTTGACCATCGAGACCATTTAAGTGTCCCTTACGGCGCCGAACGAGCACGTGTTGGCGTCTGTGGCCATGGTTCGTCGACTTGAAGGCTCGCCATCGAAGAAATTTCATTCTAGAATGCGGCTGCTCACCATGTTACACGCAATATATAGCATGATGATAATGGGCCAGGAAATGCAATGCAGGCAGACTTTCAACCTCGACAACCGTATACTGGGACAAGACAGCCGCCAAGATGGTTCTCGAAGACTACACGTACGTCTTTGCCTTTGGCACGATGTTTGCGCTGCTCGAGGCGTATAACAATGGTGCCAATGATGTTGCCAACGCGTGGGCGACGTCTGTGTCGTCACGATCCGTCACCTATCGGCAGGCTATGGTGCTCTGCGTGATCTTCGAGTTGACTGGGGCCTTGGCAGTGGGAGCACGAACTGCATCTACTATCAAGAACGGCATGTGAGTTGGACCGCGCTCGATTATTGGCCTTTACTGACACGAACAGCATTCCCATCTCGGCCTTCAATGGTAACGCTGGCGTCCAGCTACTCGCGTTTGCCTGTGCTTCCGCAGGTGCCGCCATCTGGGTTATGTGGTGCACCCGACACTCCGCGCACGTATCTTCGACTTACTCACTCGTCTCCTCAATTGCTGGAGTGGGCGTTGCTGCCGTCGGTGCCAGCAAAGTACAATGGGGCTGGAATGACGGTCAAGGTCTAGGCGCTATCTTTGCTGGACTTGGAATGGCACCTGCCATCTCAGCCGCCTTTGGTGCTATCATCTTCATGCTCATCAAAATTGTAAGGCGCTCAACGTTTGTCCTGATTGGTTTCTGACAACTGCAGGTTGTGCACATGAGGACCGATCCGGTCAAATGGGCCGTCTTCACCAGCCCATTCTGGTTTCTGATAGCGGCCGTGATCTGTACGCTCAATGTCGTCTATAAGGGCTCTCCCAAGCTGGGCCTGAACAACAAGCCGTAAGTACAGCAAGACAGCCTACCACAACAGGAACAGACTGACGGGGTGAACTTCAGTGCCTGGTACATTGTCGCTGTCACTCTAGGAACCGGATTCGGGGTCGCGTTTCTTTCGGCTCTATTCTTTGTTCCCTTTGCTTACTGCAAAGTCATTAAGCGAGACTACACGCTTCACGTCTGGGACATCTGGCAGGGTCCGAACCTGTTCTTCCGTGAACCACCGGCAGATGCAAGCGAGGCGCGTGTTCCGAACTATGCCGTCATCAAACACGGCGGTGAGGACGACGATGAGACAGGAGACCTGGTGGCGCCGACAAAGCCCGCGGAGAAACAAGTTGACGGCGATGCCATCACAAAGGATAGCTCTGATAGCGACAACGAGATCAAGCCAGCAGAGGCAGAGGCGCCACCGACTGCGGCCAAGTCGCTTGCCGAGATGGAAGATGCTGTCGCCGCAGGCAACCCTCAGGCTCAGTACCGAATCCTACTTGCTCGCGCCACCGCCAAACACCACGAGAGACTTCGAAAGAGTCGCGGACCTCTGGGCTGGGCGATGCGCGTTCTGCACCGGAACCCGATGGGAGCTGGATCGATCTACGAATTGCACAACCTCAAAGCGCTCTGTAACCGTCTCCCGGCCTACGTGGTTGTCGCTCTCCTCTATGGTCAGTCTTCTCCATGGTTCACAGTCATCCTCTAATGCTGTACAGGCGCGCATTACGATATTCATCGTGCTCAAGTCGGCGTTCTGGGTACGCCAGAAGGCCACCGGATGAACAAAGTCTACGCCCACGTCAGTAACTTCTTCGGAGTGCTTCGAAAGCATGCCACTAACAACGTCCAGGCTGTCAAGTATCCCAACGAAGTCGAGTATCTCTATTCGTTTATCCAGATCATCACGGCCTGCACAGCCTCATTTGCCCACGGCGCAAACGACGTCGGCAATGCTGTAGGCGTGTGGGCCGGCATGTATGCTGCATGGAACAGTGGAACTACCGTCAAATCGAAGGAGGATGTACCTCTGTGGCAGATCGCTGTCATTGCACTCACGATCTGTGTTGGTTTCATTACCTATGGCTATGTAAGTTGCAGTCTCGAGATCGGTCATTCAGCCGCAGATGCTAACGAGAGTGATTAGAATATCATGAAGGTCATGGGGTCGAAGCTCACATACCATTCGCCGAGCCGTGGGTCTTCGATGGAGATGGGTGCAGCCATCACAATCATGATCTTCAGTCAGGTTCGTTAGCCTTTTCAGACAATCTTCAACGCGGTCGAACAGAGCGGCCGAAGCCGTGGCTTCCTGCTACGACCGGTCGTCTTAGCCACGCCGGGGAGCCCCTCACGCCTCATATCTTGTCCTTCACGTTCAAGACCCAAGGCTGACTGCTGCCTTAGTACAAACTACCCGTGTCAACATCGATGTGTATCACCGGAGCCACCGTCGGCGTTGGGCTCTGCAACGGGACATGGAGAGCAGTGAATTGGCAGCGGGTCGGTTTGTTGTTCTTCTCCTGGATCATGACGATCCCCATTGCGGGCCTGATTGGCGGAGGGATCATGGGTCTGGCTCTCAACACGCCCCACTTCTAGGCGCTGGGTCACGGAGCTTTTCACCTGGTCTGCCGCTGTCGACTTTGCTTCCTGATTGGGCATCTTGTAAACCTGGCAGCTCATTCCGCAGGAAGACACGTAGGGTTGGCGTAGACCTTGAACCTTAGGGGGGTCGATAGTAATAGCAAGACTTCGAGTACGAGGTGTAATTCATCGATGAGTATGTAACGAGGGATCGACTGCCAGCCGACGCCGGATGACATGGGCTCTACGCGTGGTGAAGGCTCCTATCCTTGTATACAACTCTATGTATATATTCCCGTCGGAATCTCCAAATTCGAGCCGGTCTTACTGACGCCGGATGACATGGTCAGCAGAGCCGTGAGCAACGATTGTCTACTTGTGCAAGCTCCATCTGTGCCACTTGCATTGTTTCGATCAGTAGTCGCTGTTGATGATCACCTCGCCATTCTCATGCGTAGATCTGTTAGGGTAGCGTGCTGTAGGGCCTTTGAACAATTAAAGTGAGAGCATCGCAGCTGCAAAAACACCACCCCGCAACGCGTGAGCGCGTCTCCAGCGCATTCAAGTTTCCCCTCAGAGCCCTCATCAATTTCTCCTCTGGGCCAGAGACATGATCAACACCAACATCGCCGACAGTTTCCCATCCATAACATCTAGACGAAACACTGTCCGGTCAGAAGCCGCCTCGCAAACACGAGTCTGCAGCGCACGGTCTCCTTCAACGACACCCCAACGCACCGATTACCGCACATCATCTGTCGCAGCAAGTCCGCCAAACACCCAAACCTCCAATGACAACTCCACCGCAATCCCCAACGCACCCCGCAGCGACATACTCTGCGCCATTTCTGGCACGCCGCAGCCACCTCCTCACGCAAATCTCCTCTTCGCTCGAAGACACGCTGACACAAATAAACTCGCTGAACCGCAGCTTGGAGGGCATCATTGAAATCGGGAACGAGTTCGCTGCGGTGGAGGGACTATGGTCTAGTTTCGAGACATTCATGGGAGATCAAGGGCAAAGTCAGCCAGAGGGAATGGACGGGAAGGACGATGAGAAGGAAGTTGGACAGAGTCATGGGGATGGCAAAGGGAAGTAAGGAGGCTGATGACGGATCATGAGTATGGGACTGGACATGGCTGGTTCGATGAAGAAATTCTAGTGCATCTCGATTTCTGCATACAAGCCTGCACAGCCAGAGCACTTCCCGCTACGACTGAGACGCTGGTCGAGTGACTCGTCTGACTCACCAGCCAAAGAGCACGGTTCCAACCAATCCAGCCCAAAACACTGCTTATGAAGGTCTTTGCCAGAGGTTCCCCGAACACGCCCAACCGGATGGTCCTCACAGGATGACACACTTGGCCCGCTTCTTGGCCTTGACTTTTCTCCCACCCGTGTCTGGCCCAACATCCTCGTATCTCGCCTCCTCGGTCTGGACCGCAGTATTGATAGCCAGCTCGAATACCTCGTCGATGCCCTTGGCCTCTTTGGCTGAGCACTCGATGTATTGCGCGCCCATTTTGCGGGCCACGGCAGCGCCTTGCTCGGGTGTGACGGGTGTGAGGCCTTGTGTGCGAAGAAGTTCGATGCAGGTTCGTTTTGTGCGCAGATCGGACTTCAGACCGACGAGGACGAGGGGAGTGGAAGGACAGAAGTGAAGGACCTCTGGGTACCACTGTAGCCGGCGGCGTTAGCGAATGGTAATGTGCGGAAACGAGAGAGGCTTACCTTGTCCATGACGTTTTCTAGCGAGTTGGGACAGTCAATGGCGAAGCATACGAAAAGGAGGTCAGTCTCCGGGTATGAGAGTGGTCGCAGTCGGTCGTATTCTTCTTGACCGGCGGTGTCCCAGAGTGCCAGTTCGACGGTCTTGCCGGTGGGTGGATGAATGGTCTGAGTGATGTAGTTTTCGAAGACAGTCGGCACATATTTCTGGAGGATAGGTATTAGCATCTCTTCCGCCGAATCAAAGCTGAGATAGAACTTGCCTCTGGAAAGTATCCTTGCGAGTAGCTGATGAGCAAACATGTCTTCCCACAACCTCCGTCACCGACGACAACGAACTTCTTTGAGTAGCTGGGTGGCTGAGTGATGTTGGTGGCTTCTGACAATCGTGTACCCATACTACTTCGCTGATCGTAGCTCATGTTGGTGCTCACAGTGGCGTTAGATGTGCGCGTACTCTCGCTGCGGCGATTCGTAGGTCTTCGACGTGGTGAGGGAGGTGTGATGTATGATGCCGAGGCGGTCTTTTCTGACATGACCGTCGATGTGTGGGTGGAAAGGCGGTGCGAGTATGTGTCCGCCATTGTGGAAGGCAACCAGCCCTGACCGCGGCCTGCGGCAAGTGAAGACTCGAGACTCGGACCAGCTGAATTTCGATGATGTGCTGCTGACTTTGCTGTGGTGATTGCGAGGTGACTTGAACCGCCGGTGCAGCGAATATCTGCGATGATGGATGCGAAGAGAAGAGATGTTGTTTGTTATTATGTACAAAGGAAGAAAATCGAGCAGATGCAGGTCTGATCCCTGTTGCAAGCCGCCGCCTTGGTTTGAGAGACGTAAAATCATTGAAGTTACTCCAAGTTAGCAGGTGGCAGCTGTTTGGGGTCGCCGTTGCCCAGCAACCGCTACACCCTCCTTCCACTCCAGCTTCCGCCCTCATCAGAATCGCGCTGGTGACGTCGCAGGCTCTTCCTGGTCCATCGCCTTACCAGGTGGGCTCCAACTACTATGGCTGTGCGAATCATGCAGCATCTCCGCTTCTCCTGCCGGATCTTCGTCTGCGATGCTAGTCACTTATTATGATGACGCCCGTGGTGGGATGTACCAAGCCCAGTCGCGGGCGAGAAGTTAGCTCGGCTCTGATTCGCCCGGCGACTGAAGCGACCGTCTGGGATGGCAGTCGCACTGCATTTCCTTCCACTTACGAATTCCTCCTCCACACAACACTATCGTTACGTATCCATTTCACGAAGTCGCGAACAGGTGTTGATCTGATAGCTATGTCGTGTCGTGGAGGCCTCTGATCAGCTCCGCCGCCAGCATCGTACTCAATGGCATTGTCAGCAAAGCGCAGATGGCCAAGGAACATTTGGACGCGGGGCTGAGGAGTCTTGATCACTGTATGCTCTCTCTTTCCGCCTCTACACATCCTGTACAGTGCTGATGACCTTCCAGACAAGATCCGCCTCCCAAGATGGCGCTACTATGTCCGCGAAAAGCTGCTCCCTATTGTCCGCTGGGAGACACCCTACGTCGCCTACCTCCAGGACACCCTCCGCTCGCCGTTCCTTGACTCCTACTTTGCAATGACCGCAAACCTCGGCACCCACACCTTCTTCATGATCATGCTACCAATCCTCTTCTGGTGTGGTTACACTTCATTGGGAAGAGGCATGGTCTACATCCTCGCCGCCGGCGTCTACTGGAGCGGCTTCGTCAAGGATATGCTCTGTCTACCACGGCCGCTGAGTCCTCCACTGCAGCGGATCACCATGTCCGGCTCAGTGGCATTGGAATATGGCTTCCCCAGCACCCACTCAGCCAACGCCGTTAGCGTCGCAATCTACAGCGTCTACCTCCTCCGAACTTCATCATCCGCCGGAACACCATTCAATACCTGCCTACAAGCCATATCATACTTCTACTTCTTCTCAATCGCCCTTGGCCGGCTCTACTGCGGCATGCATGGCTTCTTCGACGTCTTCTGCGGCACCGCCCTCGGCGCCGTGATTGCTATCCTACAGTGCGAGTTCAGCGATGCTTTCGATGCATATATGTTCCAGGACGACGTCAAGCGACTAGTCATTTTCGTCTTGATCATACTCGTCCTGACACGACTACACCCAGAGCCCGCGGACAACTGCCCATGCTACGATGATAGCGTTGCCTTCAACGGAGTCGTTGGTGGTGTCACCATCGGTTGCTGGCATTACGCAACCCAAACTTCGTTTTCGTGGAGCGAGCCCAGTCCTGCCACCGTCCCGTTCAGTCTGGAGAAGATGGGCTGGCTGGTCGCAGTCGCCCGCATCGTCCTCGGCGTAGTCATCGTCTTTGCCTGGCGTGCAGTCATGAAGCCAACACTCCTCAAGATCTTGCCTCCACTGTTTCGGACCATCGAACACTACGGCCTCACTTTGCCTAGAAGGTACTTCACGCCCGCCTCCCAATATAAGACTGTGCCTTCACAGCGAAACGACGACAACGTCATCCCTTCAGCGCGCGACATACCCGGTCTACTGCGAAGACGCAGAGCCATCTCTGTCGGACCCCAGTCAGAAGCGGACGCATACGAAGCCATGGCGTATCGTGAAAAGCAAAGAAGAGATTCCATTCATCATCAGGCGACACTCAGTCCAGTGGCGGCATCCCCTCCGAGCTCGCCTGACAGAGCTGATGGGAAAGGGAACAGGAAACGTGCTTCCAGCCTCGAGCAGTTTCGGCAACAGATGGGCATGGGCGCTGATGGCCTGATGAAACCTGCGGCTGAAGAAGAAGAGGAGATATCGAACAAAGCTACGAAAGCCTCCAACGACAACGACGATAGAGAAGCCTTGCAGACAAACCTGGATTTTGCCAACGTGGTCAAGCCCCGAGTGAGATACGATGTCGAGGTCGTGACAAAGCTGATCGTCTATTGCGGCATCGGCTGGTTAGCCGTCGAGATCAATCCTATCGTGTTTGAAATGGTCGGACTGGGGTTAGGCGTCAGATAGATTCTTGCGTAGACCTGATATGTAGGATGGCTGCCGGGACAATGTGCGGCGTCGGAGCTTCTAGGTCACACAGCGTCGCACAGAGTCCCCGCAAGCTGGAACATCCACGATGCACATTTCACACGAAGCAATAATCAGGTGGCGAGTTTCGTGCGAACCTACCCACTGGTTAAAATGTCAGAGCTCCAGCACCATGCCTGGCCAGGAAGCTTATGATGAGCAGCACGACCAATCTGCCCTGATCACTGAACCCTCTGTTGCAGATTATCGCACGAAATCCCCAAATTCCGCCGGGAATTCGATTAACTCCCGGTCTATTTGAGCCACGTTCGACCCGGCCGACAGCCTCATCTTTACTACTAACCAACTTATCCATTTGTCAGCGCTTCTAGGATTGCAGAAGCAAGGCTGCAACGCGCCTCGTGCACGGTATGTCTGTGCCCATTAAATGATGCTAAAGCGAAGCTCTTTTTGCCCTGGAAATGTCACACGCGTGCCGCCTCGTCCAGCGAATTCGAAAAAGACCATCCCGCTTTCCTAGTCGACATGACTCCCCAAACAGCCTTCGTAACCGGCGCCAATGGCTTCATTGGCAGTGCAGTGGCCAAGGAGTTCTCACGCAATGGGTACACGACCTACGGTCTCGTTCGTCGCGCTCAAAGCGGCTTGGACCTCCAAAGAAATGAAGTCATTCCCGTTGTCGGTACGGCCGAAGACGCGGCCGCGTTCATTTCCCATCTGCCTCCAATTGATGTGATAATCACGTGCGACGAAGACCTGGCAAACTACAATGCGCATCAACAAGCTCGACTTGCGATGATACAACGACTCTGCGAAGCCTCCAAGGCCAAGGGGGCCGAGAAGCCACTGGTCATCTTCACTAGCGGCTGTAAAGACTACGGAGTCAGTAAGCTGCTTCATGGCGACGAGGGTTTGAAGCCGGACACGGAAGATAGTCCTCTGAATCCGCCAGATCTGCTCAAGCCCAGAACAGCGGCGGCAACCGATATGCTCAGCAATCACACCGAGGAATTCGATTGTGTTGTCACGAGGCCTACGACGCTATGGGGCTATTCCGGCAGCTACTATTCTTACTTCTTCTCGCTGGCCGAGCGCGCAAAAAGGGACAACAAGCCAGTGTTGGAACTGCCCGCCAGCCCTAATGCAATCCTACATGGGATGCATGTCGCCGACGTTGCGGCTGCATACTTAGCGATCGCGACTGCGCCGCGGCAAGTCGTTATGGGCAAGGTGTATAACATGTCCGCCCATCGGTACGAAACGCTGGAAGAAATCATACCGTTCGTGGAGCGAAGTTACGACATTAAGATAACGCTCCGAGACTCTCAGCCCGATGATGCAAAGGTCTTTGGACTCTACGCTCTATCCTTGTGGCAGTTTCCACAATGGGTAGGCTCGGTGAGGTTGCGGCACGACCTTGGCTGGAAAGATAACAAACCTCTTTTCACTGAAGCCTTTGAAACGTATCGACAAGCTTACGAAGCTGCTACAAGTACAGATACCGAGCAGATCGAGCGGATGACGAAGAAGACACAGAGCGCTGGTACTCTGTAGAATACTGCCCACTTTACACACCCCGTTGCTTGTGCATGCATCTATCACTGAATTAGCGGCTGTTTGCTCTGCTGTAGACTTCACGTTCTTACGTGGCAGACAGGACTTGAATAATTCTCGATTTGCGATCTGCTTCGTAAAATGTGGAAGTAATCAAGTGTTGTTCGCTTCAACAAGCCGTGTGAGCAGTTTGCCGGTATTTCCACCTGTAAACAACAGCGCCCACGTCTTTGGAATGTCCTCGAATACAGTATCTACGATCGTCTCATTGTCATCTCGAAGGACAAGATTTCCTGCACTCCATTCTCTCACCAGCAAATCTGTGACTTCCTTTTGATGGTCAAGGTAGTCGATGTTGATAAAACCTAACATTTTGAGACGCATTGTCACGACTTCCTGTTCACTATTAGTATGCAAAAGGGCCGTGGCAGTCGAGAATTGATGCAACTTACAAACAGATTCTTGATGCCAGTCTGATTCACAACGTCATTGTAGGTTGATGTCATTCCACAGGCTGCAATACGGCCGTATTTTTCATTCGCTTCAGCATAAGGTCGAGGATCTCTCCTCCCACATTATCTTGAACGCCTAGTCAGTCGGACGGAAAGACACGCAACCGTCCTGGTGGTGCGACGCGACGTACCGAAGTATACATCAGCAAAGTCTTCTGTCTCCGCCGCCAGATTCTCAGCAAAATGCGAGTCCTTGTAGTTCAAACACTTGTCCGCTCCCAGAGACTCAACCCAGCGACATTTCTCTTCTGTGCCTGCTATGCCGATAAGCTGTAGAAAGTCGGCGTCAGAGTCGTGTGCGTCTGGAGCATGAGAATATGAGATGGAACTCACCCTTCCACAACCAAGCACCTTCTTCGCAATCTGAACCACCATACTGCCAACAGCCCCAGCCGCCGCGCTTACGACTATGGTATCAGTCTTCTTGAGCTCCACAATCTCCTTGAGAGCATAGTATGCCGTCAACCCAGGCAGACCAAGGCCACCGAGAAAGTGTGTCTCCCTGAGGCCTTCTGGGGGGTCGAGCATGACAAGATTCTGAGCGGGATGAACGGAATATTCTGACCACCCCATACGTCCCACAACAAGGCTTCCGACTTCTAGCTTGTCGTCGCGGGACTCAATTACGCTGCCGATTCCGAGCGCGCGCATAGTGTCTCCGGGTTGGAGCGGCGGCAGATAGGCTCTGTCTGGGTCGACTGAGGGTGAGATCCACGAGCGTTGTGCAGGATCGTTGCTCAAGTACACTGTCTGCACTAGAACTTCACCGTCCTGCGGTTCGTTCAATGTTGTCGTCGTGAGTTCAAATGTCTGTTCTGAGCCCTCGAGCACAGGCATGCCGTGCGGCTTCTGTCGTAGTTTCCATTGCTTTGTTGTGGTAGGAGCCATAGCCACTTCGCAGAGACTGGTAGAATTAGCGGAGCTAGAGGAGATACTCCCTGCCCAGGTGGGCTTCGTCGTGGTTTTGATGCATTTCGGAATCGCGGAGGAGAACGAACAAGTGCTCCATGGTCCGCAATATTAGATGACAAAGCGCTCTGACAGTCCCCGCGAGCACGAACAGCTGTAATGGTGTTTTGCTTTCAAGACGCCTCGGCAGTTTCCCCGGCCAGTTGATATGCTGACGGCAAAAGACCTGCTGGGATAGTGTCGACTAAGACCAGTTTTCCCGACCGGGGCAGAATTTCCATCGGAAATTCTTTGGTGTTGCGACACGTCTTCCGCCGGACCTCGTCGCAAAGGCCGGAATTTGAAGAAGTATCCAAACCTTTCCCTCCCGTCCTGAAACGACTGCCCTTCCCCGGTGTCCTCGATTGGCGGGTGGTACAATGTCGACCCCGTCGACACATCTTTGCGGAGTAAATCTGGGGAAAGCGTACAACAGAATGGAAGGGTGTCACGAAAGAACCAACAAGACTTGCCGCCTGAAGATGCTGAAATTTCGGAGTATAAGTAGTCAGCCGTAGGATGGTGAATATTGATCGCAGGAAGAGATCATTACCTACATAGGAGCCTACTCAGACCATCCCACAATCTGCCTTCTTCACAATATCAGGTTGGCACACGTACGACCAATATCGCCCTGTTGCCATAGATGGAGCGTGTTCGATTTCGTGGAAAGACATTGCGAGTGCTAATAACTGTGACTTGCAGTATTGCTTTCATATTGTTTGGCTGTGAGCAGAAATGCCCTACCTGAGCCTCGGCCAATACAATGTACTAAAGCTCATCCTTTGCAGATGATCAAGGTGTGATGGGTGGCGTGTTGGGAGGGGCTCCGTTCAACGACCAATTCCACCATCCATCAGTATGTTCGCTCGTCTGCAAAGATTAGTCCGATTCCTAACTTGGCCCAGGCTTTGCAGGTAGGGCTGATTACAGGGTTGTATGACATTGGTTGTCTGCTGGGTTCTCTGGGAGCGCTGCTGTTCAGCGAGGCGCACGGAAGGAAGAGGTCAATCGTGAGTCCAGCCCGAGCCCAACAACAGGACCTACTTCTGACTGATTTGAAAGATTTTTGGCGCTCTTGTGTCTCTGATCGGAGCCATACTTCAGAGCACTGCTAAAACGGTCCCCCATCTGATGGTTGCGAGAGTCATCACAGGTGTTGGAGTTGGTGTCATGACGGCGAATGTTCCTGTAGTCAGTCCACAACTAAGAGACTCCCTCAGACGTAACTGTCCTCCGGATTGCTGACTCTCGGGATAGTGGCAATCTGAAGTCTCAAATGCGAACAATCGAGGAATACTTGTCACCATCCAAAGCGCCAATATCAACTCTGGCTTTGTACTATCCACCTGGGTGACATTCGGCACAGCATATGTCACACGCAGCCAATTCCAATGGGTATTCCCGATCGCCTTGCAGGTAGTCTTTCCGGTCTATCTGTTGATAATGGTGCCGTTCCTCGTCGAGTCACCCCGTTGGCTAGCTCTTCATGGGTCCACAGGCCAGGCAACCAGAGTCATCGCTCAGCTTCGCGATTTGCCTGAAGACGATGATGAAGTTGTGCGAACGCGAAACGAGATTGAATTGGCACTGGAGGCTGAGAAGCCGGGCTCGTTTTTGGATCTCTTCAGGAATGGAGGACAACAGAACTTCAGAAGAATGATGCTTGGAGTGACTGCTCTCAGTATGCAGCAGTTGACTGGTATCAAGTGAGTATCCAGTCCCGCATCTGGCATTCAAGCTACCCTTACTGACTGCTTTTGTGCTAGCTCGGTTGCATACTATATCCCAGTCATTCTGCAAGAGTATGTCGGACTGAGCAATGTGATATCGCACATTGCAGCGGCGGCAGGCTCGACACAGTGCCTTTGTTTCTCTTTCCTTCCAATACTGTACATCGAGAGGATCGGCCGTCGGAAGAGCTTGCTTATTGGTGCCGCTGGCATGACCATAGCCATGGTTCTGATCTGCATCGGGTTCAACATCCACACTAAAGGGGCTCCTATCATGATCACGGTCATGTATTACCTGTTTTATGACTTCTTCACCACATCGTAAGTCTATCTGATGTCCTTCCCCAAAGTGCTGAATTGCTAACATAGTTATCAGCTACCTCAGCGTACCATGGATGTATGCGGCGGTGAGTCTGTGAATACTCAAATCAAAGATTTCTGCTGATCGTGACAAGGAAATCAACTCCCTTCGAACAAGGTCGCAAGGCATGGCTCTGGCATCTGCTTCAAATTGGCTGCGTAAGTACGATCCACACAGCGGCCTCTTTGAGGGCGTGTTTAATGCTATCCAGTGAACGGTGTCATCGTCACCATTACCCCCATTGGCCTGCAAAATCTTGGCTGGAGATTTTACATCGTCTGTAAGTGTCACTATTTGCACCTCAGACCCTGCAGCTTCCGAGACTAACTCTGCCGAGGGACGACGATCAACTTCTCCTTCATTCCGATCGTGTACTTCTTGTTTCCAGAGACAGGTGGACTTTCTCTTGAACAAATCGACCATATATTCGAAGGCAAGGGACAGGGTTGGAGCGGCTTCACACAAGGTGTGCACGAAAGCACGCAAAGATCCCTCCGTCATCACCAATGGGCCGAAGTGGCTGAGATGCACCCCCATCAGGTCGACGAAAATGCCTTGGAGGAGAAGGAGAAATTTCCGAACTCGACTGAGGTTGAGAATATCTAGGTTTGCCGCGCAAAAGGTGATGGGCGTTGTCTTCCATCAAGGGAAAGGGGGCACATCATCCCATATCCAGCCCTGGCCAATGTTGTTGATATCATCCATGAAACTTGTATCAGTCAAGATACCACTCATATCAAAATTGATCCATGCGGAGTTGGCAGTCGTGTCGAAGGAATCACTATAACCTTGATCGAAATCCGAAGGGTTGGTGTCGTGACGTACTCCGACGCGCTCGCTGGCGTCACCCAACAGAGCTCCCGCGGGTGCGAAGTCATCGCCTCTGCGGGCTGGAGGCGTTCTTCTTGATACTGAATCTTGCGTGGATCGTCCCGACACCGTCTGAGCACGGCTCTCGAGTGTATTAGCGTTCGCTCCGTCCAAAATGCTGCTGTCGAGGGCAGAGTGGTTTCCTTCCACAGTCAGCAGTCTCATCTCTTGGTCGAGGATGACTCTGAGTAGTCGTTGTAGGATATTCTCCGTCTGATCAGAGATGGCCGTACGGTAGCCAAACAGCCTCGGCATTTTGATGAGTCTGCCGATGGCGCGTTTTGCTTCTTGCGCCTGAGTGGACAGCGGCTGGGAAAGCGCAAATATGCCCAAGACAAAGCCCGCGGTGAACGTCTGCACTCCAGTGTAACCTCCCACGTGACAGTTGCGGGACTGTTTGAGAACATCTGGAAATCGATCGATGCAAGACGTCCTGGTCGCGGCCTTCCAGCAGATGTCTTTGCTTATGCTCGATAATCTTCTGACGTCTTCGCTGATTTCGTCCATCGTCTCGGGCATGTTGAGTGGTGGTCTGAACAGGGAGCCCTTGATGTGGAAAAGCAAGGTACGATGCAAGACAAGTTGAATGTTGTCATAAGCGAGTTGCAAGGCTAGAGCTTGCACCTGGAAGACGCGGAGACTCCGATACTGCCGACTGTGGGTAAGAGAGTGACGAGAAACATTCTTCAGATCGAGCTCGGGAGGGACGCTGTCTTGCCACTCCAGCAACTGCGCGTTGATGGCCTGGATTCTGTTGACAACTTCTCGGACTGATCGTCTGTCATTGAAGTATACGTCTTTCATGATCGGTTCTGCGATACAATACAGTCGGAACTTAAATCGCTGGTAAGAAAGTGTTGTAACTCTTCGAGATGAGCCATCTTCCATTACTTCGTATGACCCAATTCCCGGGCAAGTCTCCAGTGTGTCATCGATATTTTGAGGCAGCTCAACCTGGCACTTCGAATGCTGAATAGAATTGGTTGTGCCATAAGTCAAAGCTCCGTATCTGCAAACGGTAAGCCACTCGGTCACATCCGTTGAAGCGTAGTAGCATTTACCCGTCCAAGACGTATACTGCCCACCACACACGGCGCCGCACCTCTCTCTCGATGGGATCGATGACTCGCCAAGTGGACTCTCGATGGAGTTTCATACCTTGAGCGAGTCTTGTTGCGGCACTGTTCATAGCTAAGCAGCGATGCGGCCGACCGTGGTAGAAGTAAAACGAGCTGAGGAGGACGCAAACTTGAATTGCTCCAACATCGTCTTGGTCCAGAACAGCCAGGAACCTCGCTTCGATCTTTTCGAGGAGAACTGCCTGGAAACGCGAGAGGTCATGGCTCGAGTAGGTGGGTGGAATCTCGTCTACCAGCACGTACTTTGTTCCTATCAGTAAGACTACCATCACGAGGATGATTGTAGATAGCTTTTGCCTCGGAAATGTTCCAGTATTTAACATCTCCTCGAGATCGGCACGCAGTGAAGGTTCGTGGAATACCATCATGAACCAGTGAACAGAATCTATGAACACATCAAAGAGTTTCAGTGTGACGACACGAGCAGGTAGACTGCAGCCCATCACATCGCGAAGGCGTACAAGGTCGCCGTTGGCTAGCGGGTTTGAGACAGTTGAAGTAAGTCCATCCGGAATCGCATTGAAGCCCGTGAGCGGGCCATGCTCAGTGTCGAGAGTGGTGAAAAGCTGTTGTTCATCATGGGTTAGCACATGACCGTCTCAATGTGACCACATCTAGCAAACCTGATCTATCAAGCCATAGGTTGATGGTCTGTCTTGGCTAAGCGCAGGAATGCGATCAGTTTGCTCGAAGCTCGCTCCTCCCACTTCAGCCAAGTTCGAATCGGTCGGAGTGCCTCCAGCCAACAAGATCCGCTGGGCTAGTTGCACTTGCGAGCGCTCTTGATCGATCTTTGTTCGTTTCCTATTTAAAGTATCAGCCAATTCAGGACCTCAAGACCTCGTCTAGGTCTTAGATGGATCAGATCGTACCTTTTAGGCAGCTCACCTTCCTCACACTGTGCACCCGCATGTATGCACAGCAGACATGGTCGCTGACGGTCGCACTGTGAACATGGTTACGCTCTGACCCCATACGGATGGAATGACAGGCTTTACACAAGATCATACCTTGAGCTTCTGGCGCCGACACCTTACACACGCGTGCAGAGTTTTCGAACCAGGAAGTCGGCTTCGCCGTTGCGGCATAGTAACTCATCGTAGCATCCGCAGGCTCCTGGATTAGTTGAACAGTGATCTGTGCGTGATCAACCTATCTAGGCGCCCCTTTCAGGTATACACCTACTTACTTGGAGAAGGCCGTGGCGAGATACCTAGGTACTTTCTGAACCCCGCAGGCAGCGAACTTGACTTGCCTTGTCCCCAGACTCTCTCTGATCACATGGTCTCACGGTTGCAAAGCTTGGGCATGGGCCAGAGGCGAAAGCATATCATACATGATGGAGGTACACGTGGTGATGGATGTGCATGACGTTCAGAGATGTGCAATGGTCGATCCAGGCATGAGCGGGCTAAACACGGAAGCAGAACGAGCTTTTTTGTGGCTGCATTATCGACCACTAGCTACCATAATGCCCGTAAGACACCTAACAGACCGCCGAGAAATCTCACACTGCGCAGAACAACCGCCGGTTTGGCCTACACGGCTGCGCGCTGCTGACCGTGTGCCTGAAACATTTGTAGAGCTCCGGCTAGTAATGTCCTTGCCGCCGTTCCGACCAGCATTCCTGCACTTCTGCCCTTTCTCCAGCATGGATCGAGCCGCTCACTTAGCGAACAGGAAGCAGGCGTGGCTGCTTGGATCCGATTGACATGCTTCAACCGGCCCTCATGGAAGGTGATACGGGACGCGGTTTTCAGACCAGAAGTCCGCAACTATCCTTGTAGGTAGAGTAGCCCACGCCTAATGGTTGACGAACTCAGTCTCCCAACGCACTCCCGCCCCGTTGCACATAATACTGCTCTGCTCTGTCCAGTCCGCCCACCTTGCCCGTTTTGCCATCCCCAGGGATCTTCCAATTATTGACTCCCCACCACCATCTCCTCAGCCCGGCGCCCCAATGCCTCCCCTTGAATTGACTCCCCCGGTTCCAATGTCTCCACCCAAACAGCGCGAAGTTCCACAGCGTCCCCTGCAGTAATGGCAACAGCAGTTGATCCCTCACCGTTATTATCGCTATTTGCGTGTTGGTTTGTGCGTTTTTGATGCTGGCGAGGTAGCTCTGTTCGAAGCGCATGTCTGGCAGTGGTGGGAAGCTTTTTCTCCGGGATCTAGGTTGGGGTGTGGGTTGGAGGATGTCGCTGGGGATTTCTGATGTTTCAGAGATGTCTGCTGCATCGATGTCCGAGGAGTCTGGTGAGGGTGGAAGTTCGGCTGGTACGAGGCGGCTGGCGGCTGTGGACGGGTTGACGTCGTGATGGGAGATGGGTTGCGAACGATGTGCGTGGATTGGATTGCGGAGGCGAGTTCGCTTGCTGGATTGTGCGCCATTGCGGCGCGAGGTATTTGAACGGTTGCAATGGGTCGTGAGAGTCTTCGATAGACCGATTGCGTTGGTGTTCGGGCGGGCGCTGCGGGAGTGGTCACACGTTGCAGCAGGAAGGATGTTGTCGATGGCCGACATGCAGGTGTCAATTGAGGTTGGAGATAAGTGGGTCTCCGGGGCGGCCTCTGTGTCCATGCCGCTCAACTCGACCAAAACGCCCAAAACGACTTCTTGCAATGTATCTCTCACTTGAGTCTCACTAAGGCTTCAATCACTGGTAGATCACTGGTAGTCGCATTCAACATCTCTACACGCCGGGGAGTGCACTGTATCTTCAGATCTAGACCTCGCCAATTTTGTTGATCAGACCGTCAGTCACAGCAATTCCACCGCCTCGGGAGGCGTTCAAGGTCCCCAGCCTCCAGCGTCTTTGAGAGCACGAACATTCAGCTCTCGTCCATACTATCAGTATTCTAACGCAAGCAAGACCATGCTTTTGCACTCCGACCGTGATCTATTCGATGTGAGCGACGTATGTTCTTCTCAAGAACCTTAGTGGTCAGTCAGTAATCGTCGCCGTACGATGTCTCCACTACGTCACCTGAGGTGCGTCCTTTTTGGTAAGGCCGTAAACACCATGACTTCAAGTTCTCCGAACGATCAATTGTGATCATTAGTCTTCTGCATGACAGTCGCCGTTAGGTCGGCGTTCATTTCGCAGCAGAGCAGCATTCAGGCTGGCTGCGCCGCTTATGAAATCAACGTGCATCTCATGAAATCCCCGCGTGGTTGAAGGAGCTTTGATTAGTGCTTGAGTGACTCGCATGACCGAAATAGGAACCAAGTTCGGTAACCTCATCGACGATGTGTCGGAAGACCACGATCACAACGTCAACCATGAGATTTGCTCGGCCGAGGAGTATTGATTAGGATCACTTCCACGGCTGCGTTGTAAGTCCAGGTTGGCAGGTACGTAGGCAGGCAGGTATATAGTGTCGCAGGGCCCACCTCAACTTTCTTGAAGCAACAGCAGCTCAGCTACCAAACCACGAACAATCCCGATATACTCCAAAGACCACAATCGGCACAAGTCCAGTTGCTAGCCTCTCGACTCCATCATGGCACAGACAAATTCCCTTCCCACCAAGTTCCTCGCCAACAACGAAGCATGGCGTCCTGGCTGGACGAATCCCGCCACGATGGTACAAATCCGCCAGTCAGGCACCGCACCTGAGGGCCCATTGATGATCAGTGAGTCTTTCCCTGCCCACGATGTCCCCCACACAACCCGCTAACTCACCACTCAAGTCACATGCATGGACCCGCGCTGCGATCCAGTGCAATTCCTGGGCACTGGCGCGGATGGCAAGCCAAACACACTCTTTGCCTCGATCCGCAACCCGGGTGGACGCATCACGAAGGACACCATGCGCAGTGTTCTGACGCTTCGAGCTCTCAATACAATCAGCGAGGGCGGCACGATTGCTGTTGTGCATCATACTGGTGAGTTCTCCAGGCCAATCCAGCCCTTCACCTCCTTCGTCAGTAGCTGACGTCTAGCCTCTACGAAGACTGCGGGATGACGCACCTTACCGACGAGTACATCCGCGAAAAGGCCCTAGCTCGCAATCCCGCGGACGACGCCCGCATCAACGCTATCGAGTATGGCTGCTTCACTAGCGAAGACTTCGAGGAGACCATCCGCATTGACATGCGTACGCTTCGTGCTGAGAGCTACGTCGATGGCATGGACGTACTGGGATTCGCTTTTATCACGGAGACTGGGGAGCTGAAGCAGATCTTTGCTTGAAGATTCAACGCTATGGCACAGGGTGTATGGTCGTGAAGGTCTCCACGGGCTGCTCGAAGGCGACTGCGAACAGGCTGACCAGCACGCCCTCACCCAAGCTATTCTGTCCAGTCGTCATGCCTAGAGTCCGCCCAGGTGCTGTTGGCAGCATCATAGTCGAGGGAAAATCTCAAATCCGTTGCATTGTAGGCAGGCCACGCGAACTTTAGTCCACAATCTTGCCCCAAAACGGGACGCCCATCTGTTGCAGCAGCATTCTCGCGTCCTTGTCCGTAGTCGCAGTAGTATGCATTGTGATGTGCATGCCAGGTATCATCTTTGTCGGGTAGCTGTCATAGTTCGTCTCGACCTCGGGAAACAGCGCCACCGTCTCAGGTCCCATTCCGAACATCAGGTTGCCGGAGCTATCCCCACTGGTCGCTCTTATACCTCGCCAGTCCTTGATCCGTGGGAGCACAATGGTGATTAATTTCGAAATGAAATGCCACATGTCCTCGCCTCGCAGATCCACGGTCATGGAGACTGGCTTCCCTGGAACGAGTGACCATTGCGAGACGCCGGTTTTCGCCTTATGAATCACAGCGCGCTGGTTCGTGATGCTCTGCACGAGCAGACCGGCGGTGTGGAGAGGTGGGGAGCCTCTCGACAAAGCGGCTTTGATGAATGCATGTACAGTGACGCGGTTGAGGCGTGGGATGTTATTGGGCACGATTGGATGTCGTAGTAACCGTAGCACATCGCCGCCTCGCGGGCCTCGTAATGGTCGATTCTTGAAGTAGGGGCTGTCGCCTTCCCAGCTGCGTAATCGAGGACCTTTTTCCATAGGCTTGAAGCCAGGAGGTGTATGCTGGTAGCACATTGTCATGAAGTCGGCGGCAAGGACGCGATGGTATGTTTGTTCGAGGCGTGGAGAGGAGAATGGGCCGGGGACGTATTCGCGAGATGAAGGATCGTTGGCGGGCGGAGGCTGGTGTGGATGGAGCGGCCCATGCCAGTAGCGAGGGGAGCGGTAGTTGTAGCTTCAGATATGTAAGTATGCTGTACGAGGAGTGAGTAGGAATGAAGGTAGGCATACCGGCTTTTAGGTAATTGCGCCGGCCGACTCTTTGCGCGTATGACTGGGTTGTAGGTCGACGCATCTGCAGCGTCGGTATTGAGCAGAGACGGATTGCTGTCGAGCTCCGAGGCTGGATCTGAAGAAGGTCTGGAGGCACTGGTCGTGGACTGAAATCTTCTGGTCCGAGCGCAACTCGAGCAGACTGACTGTGTTTGTTGTAGTGACCGGGCTATCCGGCGTGAGAACGACGACTTGGACATCTTATACTCCCCGTGTGATGCCAGGTGCGATGCCGCGAACAAGGCGCAGGTGCAGTCTCTAGCATGCAGAATTGCACGTCGAAGTCAACTCGCAGTACGGCGGGAGTCCTCCTGGAGGACGAGGCTGCACCACAGCCTTGGCCCAGTGACCTTGGACAGCCCGGAGGGTTTGAGCCTTACTCGACTCGCACCTCATCGCTGTGATGAAAGAGTTATAACAGCTTCACATTGTAATGTGGCTTCCTGAGTACAGGCATCTGCGGTACCTGATCTCGCGAACGAGTCCAGACATCAAAATAAGGCGTCGTTGAGGAAGGTGGAGTTCTTCGCTCAATGAAGTCGCATTCGAGCGTCACGACCACCAGGGATGCTGCGCGGCCTGCAGCGCGGGCTCAGGAAGGCATCCTGAGCACCCAAGATGTGATCTAAAGCGCGCCATGGACGAAGCTATGCAACAAGCACTAAAGTAGGTTCAATACCAACCTCTGCTGGACACGTTGGAGCTGACCTTCTCCCAGAAATGTGGATCGGGCAGAAGACGAATTGGAGCATCTCACACAGGCCCAGAACTCTCAGTATGCCGCTATGAAGTCTGCTCTGGACAGGTGAGATAACTCACATGGGTCAATCGGGTGCTGACTGTCTCAGCTTTCGTAGTACATGCCAGGATGCCCTTTTTCTGGACCTGAAGCTGGCTGCCGACCATAACGTGGAGCCGCGAATATGGCAAGCACATCACACTGTCAACAACCGGCTCCGGAAAAGCCTCAAGGACGTCCGCAAAGAATCAAGGAAAGTGGTCGAGCGCAGAAAGCTCGAGAAGGTCTACCTCAACTTCATCAAGTCTAGCCTTCGATTCTACCGCACCTTCCTTCAGCGGATCTGGTCACACTTCACTGGTATCGGCGAGTTGCACAGCGTTGCACAGAAGATGCACCTCGACCTGTTGTCCGTCGACGCACCGGTGCCTGTTGATGCGCCACAGAAGCAACAGCTACTGCAATACTGTCATTCCACTCTCATACATTGTGGTGATCTATCACGCTATCGAGAAATCGCGCTTGCCCAGAAGACTCGCAACTGGGGTCCGGCGGAAGGATACTACGAATGTGCTGCTCGGCTCGATCCAACCTCTGGCTTATCGTTCAACCAGTTGTCGATGATGGCAGTCGTTGACGATGACGACTTTGGTGCCCTGTACTACACTTACATGTGTTTAGCCACGATCAATCCGTTCCCTGCAGCAGATGAAAACCTGATCAGGCTGCTGAACAAGATCTGGACCAAGACCAAAAAGCCATCTGCCACTCAGACAAAGCCCGCCCGAGCGGAGTTTTCATTTCTTTATTTTCATGCCATGATCCACGCTGATGCGGATGCGGCGCCGGCAGACTTCCGTCCGAAACGCGACACTCTTCTGGGACGAGGAGGGCTCTTTGATTTAGTGGTGTCCGAGCCTGGCGCCAAGTCATTGAAACAAATGTGCTTGATGAACATCGCTGCTTTTCACCATGCGACAAAGGTACTACAGAGCGCCGAACAAATCGCCGGATCCCACGACAGGGAATCGAGGATATATCACATGTTGCTGGAGCTCAACATGTCGACGCTCGCGCTTTTCATGAGTATTGTGTCTTTAGAGCACGAGAATGTCCCTCAATCGACACCTCAGTTCCTAGGCGGACTGGCCTCAACAAGCACTATCCACAAGTTGTTGCCATGCCTGCGTCTGTACAGCGCCTGGCTTATGTCCAACATCGACATCCTCCGTGAGCGCACTGGTGATGGTATTGCCAACAAACTCCCCCTCGAATCGCTCTGGACAGTCTTCCTTAATTGCAAGGCAGCTCTTTCCGAGAAGCTCAGCACTGCTGACATCGATAATGTTCGCTATCTGCTGGAGGAGGATCAGGGCATGCTTCACTTCTCTCCTATCGCAGCAGTGGTGCAGCAAGCGATGCTGCGTAAGCCTGGCGAAGTTGCCAAGTCAGTTAGGAGGGACGAGGCGATCATTGACAAGCAAACATGATTCGTGCACATGCTCATGGGAAGGTCTCCGTGATACTAGATAGACAACGTAACTCAGTGATCTCGTTGCGTCCACGCGATCCAATAATCACTTCCTCGCTCTCCTGCTGTTGGTGTAAGATCGCCCCACCGGGTAGCAACAAGTGCTACAAAAGTATGGCAATGCCCAAGAAACACCTGATGGCCCAAGACAGCCAGGTGAAGGGTTGACTGAAGGAAAAAAAGGGAAGAGGACGACGTGGGGAAGAGGGATATTTATACCCGCTCAGCACCCCATGCTGTTGACTCGGCCGGAAGCATTCACTTCGCGAGGCATGATTCAGGGCCTGGCTGCAGACGTTGATTGGCTCGTGCGACTCCGCCAATAAGGCAACTTTTGCTCAAGTCTTCTTCGAGTATTCGAATTGCTTCGCAACTCTTCACACCCGCCTCATCGGAGTCTTCGTATGCCACGGATCCAAATCCGCCAATTTCGACTTACTGAACGGCCACGATCCCTGCCGTGTACTCCGATCATCACGACAGGCCAATTAGCGAACATCGCATTGAAACCCTCGTAGACTATCGACACACCTTGCAGAGTACACCCAACCAACACCGCATCACCGCCCAACGAGGCCCCTCACAGCCGTCCCTCCACTCCATCAGCCCGTCACACAATATGCCCACCACCACCTCCGACGATGCACCACCCGACCCCTCCCTCGTCACAACCGACCTCGCACAAACCCTCCTCCTAGGCAACACGCCCAAACTATCCATCCTCCCCAACGCCACACCCAAATCCGCCTCCTTCGCCATCGCGCACGAAGATCACACGCTAGGAAACGCTTTACGCTACTTCATCTGCAAGAACCCGGATGTCGAGTTCTGCGGATACACGATCCCGCATCCGAGTGAGAGTATGTTGAGTGTGCGGGTGCAGGTTTGGGACGACGTCGAGACCACGGCACTAGCCGTTCTGCAGAAGGGTCTGCACGATATGATTGCGGCATGCGATGTTATTACGGAGAAGTTCGAGGCGGCGCGGGATCGGTTTAATGATGATGGGGCGATGGAGAGTTGACGTTCAAGAATCGACATTTTACGTGCTAGGGTAGCCTCTGCGATTGCCTAGTTCGGGGCATCAGGGAGTCCGCATCACGGTGGTCCTGCGATCGATCTCTTATTCGAGCATCACGTGGGTGCCAGTAACGGCATTAATTGAGGTCGGAATTTTCATACGCCAACGAGGCCTCTGTCTAGAAGTCTGTACTTCGCCCACCACGATACGAATTGTGGCTTGTTGGCCGACCCCATCCCTGTCTGCTCTATGGATCTAGTTTCGGCCCTTTTCGCGACAAGTTAGGCATGGCTTCGAGCAGTAGAGAAAATCTCAGTGGCTGGTGACTCACCTCCAAAAATCCCGACATGAAATTCTTCGGCAGTCGGGCAGTCGGGTCCTCTTCTTTGCGGAAGTATTTCATCACGTGGGAGAGCTGCTTCCAGAAGTTCAAGGTTTCCTGGAGTCGTAGCAGAAGGAAAGAATCAGCAACTGTCCACATAGAAGTGATGCTCGAGCATGTCGTTTGCGATGACCACCATCTCCGAAGTCACGGCATGTGGATTTGTGCCAGCACCGGTGCTTCACGAATCGTCCCAGGACCGACGCGCCGCAGCACGACGCCGAGTCTGGTGGGCGGTGTAGCAAGAATCAACATGTAGAATGACATACCTGAAACTCCATGTGACTCTGGCTGATCAACACGTCTACCGCCTTGAGGTTGTTGACGTAGCGGTGCTTCTCGAACTCTTCGCGGACTTTTGAGCGGATGCGTGCGACCGGCATGTTGAGCGAATACATTTGTTGGATCTCGGGACCCTGTTTGTGGGACATGAATACATTAGTGTCTTCTGCTCTTCTTGCTCTGCGCGGCTGGTCCGTTCTGCTCGGGGAAGTGACTGTCGTCGGGAGAGAGAGATGCGAGCAAGGTGAGGCTCGATTTTTGGTGGGAAGGCTCTGACAGCTCAGGCGGGCGCTGTGCCCACCAGCATACAAGAGACATGAGGACGGAGACAACGTACAGCTCTCAGCCACTCCCGATAGCTCTTCAGCACTCTTCGGTGCGCATCTCCCCAATTTATTGCTGCTCGAATCGTCAGTCCTTGCATGACTTCTTCGTCTTTCTCATCCTCCATCGCTTCGTCTCGTCCAACTTCGGTAGAAGGTAATGGTGGAGGACTCACAGGTCCGCGTTCTCTGCGCGAGATATGTTGGGTTGATCGGCATGGCGGGCAGAGGTCACATGTGGGTCGGCCGCGCCGAAGGTGACCTCTGGATGTGATACGGACTCCGGCAATAGGTGTTGAGGGTCTGGCTGTGGGATCGAGCGCGGGCTGTTGGTTTCGAGGTCTTGAGGTGCAGTGAAGCTCAATGTTAGGGTTGGCTGGAAAATAGAGCCCTAAAATGCCCGTTCTGCTGGTCCCCCCGCGTCACCGCTCAGCATCTCCAAATTTCAGGTACAGATTGCCCAAATCGTGAACTTTTTTGCTACAGCGGTCTCGACTGCTAGCTTCTTAAGTACTCATCTCTGTCCTCCTACGAAGGCCGCCTCACGCAGACTTTGATCGCTCATCCCGTCTTTCTCCCTTTCCTTCCCGCCCAACATGGGCTCCACAATCCCATCCCCTCCCACCCCTCCAACCCGCCGCACCGCCTCTCTAAACCGCATAACCAACGAAACCAAGATCCAAGTCTCCTTCTCTCTCGACGGCGGCCCCCTCCCCCCTGGGCAAGCGTTGC